GCCGGCCTGCTGACCCTGCTGACCCTGCTGACCCTGCTCGGGTGCGGGCGCAGCCGGCCCCCGCAGCCCCCTGTGCCGGATCTGTCTGCGGCCTCTTGGGTGACCCGGTGTCGCTCGGGCTGCAGCGGCGCCTTGACAAGGAGAGGAGCCCTTTTCGGAGGCTTTGCCTATCTGAATGCGTTTTGATTCTGTCCTCGTACTTGACTGATATTTTGGCCGGTAATAGAATTTGAGTTGGAAATAGATTTCCTTCAGAATTGTGAAGTTGTTGCTTCACTGTCCTCTTGCCTCTAGTGTCGCTGTTGAGAACTCGAAGCTATTGTGATTGATTCCCAGTGCTTTTTATGGGGCCTGTTTTTCTTCCCCCCTTCATGAACTTCTAGAATCTGCGCTTTGACCCATGCTTCAAAATTTGAAACCGTGCGTCTTAGTGTGAGTCTGTTCTCATCCGTTCGGTTGAGTCTTGGATGGGCCCTTTAAAACTGCTGTTCCGGGGTAATTTTCTTGAAATATTTTGTCATTTTCCCCCTTCTGTCGTCTCTGTAGCCTCCCTTCCGAGAAACACCTGATGTTTAGGTGTGACCTTGCAAAGCTCCTCTAGTCTCCTTACCTGTTTTCTTCTGTTTTCCAGCTAGCTACATACTGGTAGATTTTCTTAACGTTTATCTCCCAACCCACGTGTTTGGATTTTTTTAAAACAAATTGTTCATGATTACATTTTTAATTTCCAAAGACTATTTTTTAGTCTGGATGTTTCTTATGATAGCCTTCTCTTCTTCACCTGGTCTCAGACCGAAGGCCAAGAAGCAATCGAGTAGCCTGTCTCGATGAACAGATGTCATGTTCTCTTGCCTCTGCGCTTATAATGATTTAAGTTTTCTTTCTCTGTGTCGTTTTCCGCATTCCTGTCCGGAAGGAAGGGGTCTGGCCGCTGGTCTCCTGAGCCGGGACAGGAGCAGGGGTCCCGCCTGTCCCGTTTTCGGGGAGATACCTGCATCTTCTTTGGGCCTGATGTACCCCAGGCCAGAACATGAGAAATGGGGGGGGGACCTCAGACTCCTGCTAGGGTGTGGAGGAAGCGGTGGCCAGCACCATAAAGGGAAAACAGACAGGGTCTGGGGCCTGACTTCTCCAGCTGGTGCCCCTGGTCTCTCCTGGGTCAGTGCTCAGCGTCCCTGCCGCCGGCCTGGGCGTCCGCCCTCTCGGGAGTGCCCAGTCGGCCACCGTTGTCGCCTGCTTCCAGCTCCCGGTCATTGCCGTCTCCTCGTCTGTGTCCTCTGTCGTGAGGAGCTTCTCGCCCTTTCAGTGAGGTTTCCGGGGGGGCAAACTGAGATGTGGGTGGACAGTCTGCCGCCCTCACCCAGCGGCAGCAGCAGTTTTTCTTGACCAGGGAGGACGGGCAGACCTGCGGGGCCGGAGCGCCCTCCGAAAGCAGCCGTGGTGTGTGAGCCTCCTCGCTGGTAGGTCGCTGACAGTGTGGGCCACCTGTGTGCCGGACACGGCTCTCCTCACTAACTCTCCCACCCCGAGGGATGGGCTCTCGTCACCCCATTCGACGAGCCCGAAGACCGTGGCCTTGGGCATTTGGAGCTCAGCGAGTGCCCGGCACTCGGCCGCTGCTCCATGGCCTGCTGACGGGGTGAATGGGCGGGCGCCGGGCCCGGCCGGGGCGAGGCTGCGGGCAGCAGTGGGCCCAGGCCAGTCCTCACCCCAGAGCCCCTGCTGTGAGCTGCCTCCATGGTGTTGACGACGCCGGAACGTGAGACTGGGGCTCCACACCCTGCTCCAGACCTCTGCTCGCCCAGTGCTGCTTGCCGGGAGGGCCCCTCGCTTGTGGAGCCTGGCTCTCTGTCTGCACTGGGGAGCAGGAGGGTCCCTGAGCGGTCCCCGAGGCTGCAGAGACCCCTCCGCAGGGCTCCCGGAGCCGAGGTGATGCCCCCCAGACCAGCAGCGCCGCTCTGCTCGCCCAGCTGACGGGCTCCGGGCCCGTGCCGCAGCCGTCAGCCCCTCGGGGGCATCTCGTGCCAGTGTGCCTCTCCGTTGTGTCTAGCTTTTCATCACAAAAAACTTTAAACCTACAGAACAGTTGCACAGTAGATTTCCCATTTTCCCATATTTGCTTTATCTTTTTTTCCCCTTCGCTTAACCATTTGAGAGTACGTTGCTGGCACTCCACCCGTGAAGGTGTCAGCCTGCGCCTCCTGACACAGGTCGCTCTCCTTAGAAACCGCAGTTCCTCGTGGGCACGTCCAGGAAATTAGTTCCCTCTTCTTCCCTCCGTCTGAGCTGTATCGCATTTCCCCAGCTGGCCCAGACTGCCTTAACATTTAAAAAACAAACAAACCAGGATCAATAAAGTTTTATACATTTCACTTGATTTGTTAATTTTGTGTTTTTAAAAAATTATGTTCTTTTAAAAAAAGGATTTTATTTATTCATTTTTAGAGAGGGGAAGGGAGGGGGAAAGAGGGAGAGAAACATCAGTGGGTGGTTGCCTCTCCTGCGCCCCCTACTGGGGACCTGGCCCTGCAATGCAGGCATGTGCCCTGATTGGGAATGGAACCGGGGACCCTTTGGTTCTTAGGCCGGCGCTCAATCCAGTGAGCCACACCCGTCAGGATAATTTTGTGTTTTTGTTTTTTTACATTTTTAATTTTAAAAATATATTTTATTGATTATGCTATTACAGTTGTCTCATTTCCCCCTTCACTCCCCTCCACCCTGCACACCCTCTCCCACCCACATTCCCTTCCTTTAGTTCGTGTCCATGTGTTGTAAGTCCTTTAGCTTCTACATTTCCATACTATTCTTACCCTCCCTCCGTCTATTTTCTACCTACCGTCTATGCTATTTAGTCTCCGTGCCTTTCCCCCCTCTCTCCTCCCACTCCCCTGTTGCTAACCCTCCATGTGATCTCCATTTCTGTGATTCTGTTCCTGTTCTAGTTGTTTGCTTAGTTTGCTTCTGTTTTTGTTTTACGTGTGGTGGTTAATAATTGTGAGTTTGCTATCATTTTACTATACATGTTTTTTATTTTCTTTTTCTTAGATAAGTCCCTTTCACATTTTATATAATAAGGGCCTGTTGATGATGAACTCCTTTAACTTGACCTTATCTGGCAAGCACTTCATCTGCCCTTCCATTCTAAATGAAAGCTTTGCTGGATAGAGCAATATTGGATGTAGGTGCTTGCCTTTCATGACTTGGAATACTTCTTTCCAGCCCCTTCTTGCCTGCAAGGTTTCTTTGAGAAATCAGCTGACAGTCTGATGGGCACTCCTTTGTAGGTGACTGTCTCCTTATCTCTTGCTGCTTCTAGGATTCTCTCCTTCATTTTAATCTTGGGTAATGTAATTATGATGTGCCTTGGTGTGTTCCTTCTTGGGTCCCAGTTCTTTGGGACTCTCTGAGCTTCCTGAACTCCCTGGAGGTATATTTCCTTTGCCAGATTGGGGAAGTTCTTCTTTATTATTTGTTCAAATAAATTTTCCACTTGTTGCTCTTCCTCTTCCCCTTCTGGTACCTCTATAATTCAGATGTTGGAATGTTTAATGATGTCCTGGAGGTTCCTAAGCCTCTGCTCATTTTTTTAATTCTTGTTTTTTCATTCTTTTCTGTTTGGTTGTTTCTCCCTTCCTTCTGGTCCACTCCATTGACTTGAGTCCCAGTTTCCTTCCCATCACTATTGGTTCCCTGTGCATTTTCCTTTATATCACTTAGCATAGCCTTCATTTTTTCATCTAATTTGAGACCAAGTTCAACCAATTCCGTGAGCGTCCTGATCACCAGTGCTTTGAACTGTGCAGCTGATAGGTTGGCTATCTCATTGTTGCTTAGTTGTATTTGTTCTGGAGCTTTGATTGTTTTTCTGTTTGGGCCTTTTGGAGGGGGGAATGGTCTTGACAGGCCTGTTATATAGGAGGGGCAGAGCCTTAGGTGTTCACCAGGGCGGGGTAACTCAGTCGCTGGGTTGTGACGTGTGCAGGGGCGGGGTCCAAGGATCAACAATGGCGCTTGCTCAGCTCTCTGTTGGATTTCAGTCCCTTCCACCGCTTCCCCCAGGTAAACTGGGCCTTTCTGGTGCTGATTCCCAGGTGGGTGGGCTTGTGCACATTCTAGGACCCTGTGGGTCTCTCCAACAGACTCTCCTGTGAGGCTGCAAGTCTCTCCCTGCGCCTCAACCCCCACAGGTGTTTTCAGTTGGTATTTTGAGGCTTTATTTCCCTGAGCTGGGACCCTGGGTTGCACATTTGTCTCCTCGTTCCTCCAGTTTATCTGCGCGAGAATGTGGGACCGCCCGGTCCGCCAGCCGCCGTGTGCGCCGCGCCCGGTCGCACGATCGCAGCCTCGCTGGGTCCGCCAGCCTCCGCCCGGCCGAGAGTCCTCTCCGCCCGGCTGCCCGTCTCCGGCCCTCCCGCCGGTCTGGGTGGATGCGTCTGCTCCAGCTCCTCGGTTGTCGGGCTTCCATACAGTTCCATTTTCTGTCAGTTCTGGTTGTTACTCTGTTTCTAAATTGATGTTCTTATTTTGGTTGTGCGAGGAGGCACAGTGTGTCTGCCTACGCCTCCATCTTGACCGGAAGTCCCCGGTTTTGTGTTTTGACATGAAAGAGATTCATGCCACAACCCTTTGGTGTTTTCTGCTTGCGTTGCTCCTGAGATGGGCTCACTACTGCTCACTACGGCGCGCAGCATCTCAGCAGAGCAAGGGACCCTTGACGTAATTTGGGGCCTTGTTCCCAGATTTTGCTAATCGTTGGGTTCACCTGGGGAGTTTTAAAAAACAGATGACCTGGTGTCACTCTTGCCTTTCTGGCCATTGGGGGTGAGGTGGGTCCCAATGACCTTTCCCCCCCAAACTCCCCAAGTTTCTATGACGCTAGCTCGGCACTGGTCCGCCCACCTGTGCTTGGGAACCGCCGACGCGGCGCATCCCTCTCTGGGTCAGCGCCACGCAGCTGGAGACCGTCCTCATTCTTGCAGACGTGACCCGGATACCATTTGCCAGTCGTACGCACGGACTGGCCGCCCGGGAGTGTGGTGCGCTGCGGGGAAGGCGCTCACACCGATTCTGCCCAGAGGAGGAGGCGTTCGGCGTGTGCGCTGGAGGTTGCAGTGGGAGTGTGTACACACGAGACGGGAGCGGCGAGGTGCGTAAATGTAGCAGTTTGTGTTGCCAAGCCTGGGCCGCCCACCGCCGTCTGTCGCCCTGCGGCTGCAGCGTGGAGTGTGTTAAGGGGGCAGGAGGCAAGACAGCCACGGAGGGGAGGTGACACGCAGAGCCGTGTGTCTCTGGACTGTGTCTCCCAGGCCGCTGGGAGCTTCTGAGTGAATGGCATGGTCCAGTCCGAGTGTCAGCACATTCTGGCAGAGCGGGGACTCGGGGAAGCAGGGAGAGTGACGTAAAGGAACCACGGGTTTGCATGTATCGTAACGGCAGAACTTACTTCCCCCCCTGCCCCTCGGAGGATCAGTTTGAACAAGCCGGGGACACGGCTGGGTCCGTTTCTCTGTGACAGGGTGCTGAGACATGCAGTGCGTCTCAGGGTGTGACAGCCGTGACAGTTGGACTTGACAAGAAGGTGAACCGGCACGGGCCGACACTGTGCGGGGCCCTGGGAAACTGCAGTGGGCAGAACCGGCCTTGGCCTGGCCTTCAAGGGGCTCACCCCGATCTTGTGTCCCTGCCCACTCACTCGGCCCAGCTGTGCCCAGCCGTGCCCCCAGGCTCTGCCTTCGGGCCTCTGTCCTGCCCCTGTTCTCCAGCCCAACTCCCTCCTGCCTCCCAGTCTCCTCGCAGGTGCTGTCCTCTCCCCTGGACGGTCAGTCCAGCCTCTTGTCCCGCCCTCCTGTCACTCACACCAAGGCCCCTCACTCTGCTCTGCCCCGCCCCCCATGGCAGGTGCCACTTTCCAACATGGTACAACATTTACTCTTAAAACATTTTATTAGCCCTGGCTGGCGTAGCTCAGTGGATTGAGCACAGGCTGTGAACCAAAGTGTCGCAGGTTCGATTCCCAGTCAGGGTATATGCCTGGGTTGCAGGCCATAATCCCTAGCAACCACACATTGATGTTTCTCTCTCTCTCTATCTCCCTCCCTTCCCTCTCTGAAAATAAAATCTTTAAAAAATGTTCTTTAAGGACAAAACAATTAAAAAAAGATTTTATTTAGTTTTAGAGAGTGGGGAGGGAGAGAGCAAAACATCAATGTGAGAGAAACATAGATGTGAGAAACAAACATGGATTAGTTGCCTCCCGCATGTGCCCTGACCCGGGACCGAACCGGTGACCTTCACTTTGTGAGATGACGCCCAAGCCGCTGAACCACGCCGGTCAGCGCTTATCATGTACTGTTTAAGTCCTGTTTAATGTCCTCCCCAAACCCCCAACCGCCCCTGCAAAGCTCCACACAGTCAGTGCTTTTGTCTGTCACTGATGTGCCTGGCGCGCAGCGGACGCCCTGTAACGGATGTGGTGGAGGAAGGGGAAGCTGACGTTCAAGTTCAGAAGTGACAAGTGAACGGCCATCTGCCGTGTGAGCTGGAGTTACCGAGGGGAGCTGGGGGTGGGGCGGTACCCCGGGCGTGTGGGTGTCCCGCGGGTCCAGGGAGCACGCAGGAGGCAGTGAAGGAGAAGGAACGGAAGGGGGCGGAGGAAAGAGACAAGGACAGGTCAGAGGACGCTGGGGCAGGTGATGGGGTTTCATCTTTATCTTAAACAGGAAGGCAAAGGTTTTAAGCAGGAGGGAGATATCACCCCAGCGGCAGTGTGGGGACACGTGGGTGGGGCAGGCGTGGGTCTGGCGGGTGGCTGGGGTGGGGGTCATTGTCAGGGACTGCGCATGGGGTGCGGGAGACAGGGAAGCTGGACTTGACAGAGGCTTAGGAGGCGGAACTGGGGGACGAGGGGTGGGATGTGAGAGGGGAGAAAGCCTGAGGAGGAGGAGGACAGCCCCCTCTCCGGCTCGAGTCACTGGCGAGTGGTGACTCATCATCATCATCGTAGGGAATCTCCTCCACGCGAGCGGGTCGGGCTGGGAGGAGGACGCCACCGGGCCTTGGTGTTGGACGCGGTGGTTTTGAGGCGGCTCTGCCTGCAGGTGGTTGGATGTGTGGACGGGGCCTGGGAGTTTAGATCTGTGGGTCAGTTGCACGGAGAAGCAGCGAAGGGGCGAGCTGACCGAACAACCCACGCTTTGGCTAACTAAAAGTTGTGACGGGTATCACTGGAGGAAGCCCCGCGCACCTCTCGGTAGCTGTTCACTGAGGCATCGGGCTTTTCTTCCTAACTGTGGTAGATTTGGACCTAAAGCAGATCGGTGTCCACGCTCTGAAAGAGGAGTGACGTTTCTCAAAAACGTTTCCTTTGGGTGTTTCTCTGCCTTCTCTGTAGGCGGCGGGCAGAGTTCGGTGAACGGCCGGCGCGGACGGCGCGGCGATGGCAGGCTTCCTGGACAACTTCCGGTGGCCGGAGTGCGAGTGCGCGGCCTGGAGCGAGAGGAGGAACACCCTGGCCTCCGTGGCGGCGGGGGTGCTGGTGAGTGGGGGGGCCCTGGGAGCGGGCGCGGACCCTGCCGCACGGCGATTCCCCCTCCGAACTGTTTGTTTCCCTGTCGTTTGGTGGAAGTGATTGTCACAGGTTGAGATGCTGTTTCTGGGCAGAATGGAGTAGGTCCTGGCTCATCTGACCTCGTACATTTGCTAAACTTAAAATCCTCTGCTCAGTTCCAGTGATAGTACAATTAGTGTAGGCAGTGGCTTTTTTTAAAAAATATTTTTTTGAGATTTTACTTATTTTTATATAGTGGAAAGGAGGGAGAGAAACATCCATGTGGGGTTGCCTCTGGAGCACCCCCCTACTGGGGACCTGGCCCACAACCTAGGCACGTTCCCTGACTGGGAATCGAACCTGTGACCCTCTGGTTCATAGGCCAGCACTCAGTCCACTGAGCCACACCAGCCAGGGCAGGGGCAGTAGCGTTTTTAAGTTAATGTGTAAGTCCTTTAAGATCCTCAGAGGCTCAGAATTAGCCAAATATTACTGTGGGACTCCCTGCGGGGCCCCAGGGAGGGGGCGCCACCACCACCAGGTCCCACTGTCCCACGGGAGGGGGAGGGCAAGAGAAAGGAATCGGCTTCGTTTCCTTCCCACCGTTCTTTCTTTCTTAACCTTTTATTACTAAAAATGTCAAGCATCTAAACAAAGGTGGCGAAAAGGATACAAAGAGCCCCTCTTCTCTTGTATTCCCTTTACTTACCACCCCTCTTCAAAAAAACCCCCTCACATCTCGACCAAGTTTGCTGGAGCCTTTCATCACCACTCCTCGCCCCAGCTGCGCTTTCTGAAGCAAGTCTGGCATCTGTTACCTCTCGTTCAGTACACGGTTCGGTGCCGGGGTCGCGCAGCAAAGAACAAACCCAGCACAGCAGGAAGCCAAGGGAATGCGCGGCGCTCTGCGTGCCGAGTTCCTGGAGCTGCTTCTGAGTTTTTCTTGCTCTCTATGGTCATCTTGTCTGCACTTGTCTGTTAGCGATGCGTCTAATTTAAGGCTGTTCAGCTTGGTTTACGTAGAAACAGTCCATGTTACAGTGTCCAGTCAGTCACACGGTATCTGATTAAGTTACAGAGCACCGTAGCAGGCTTGAGTAGTGTCGGGGGCGCGGCGGCCAGCAGCTCAGGTGCAGAGGCGGAAGCGCGTGCGCACGCGCAGGCAGGTGGTGCGAGGAGGCGAGATGAGCCCCGGCAGGCAGCCGGGAAGCGGGGGAGCGGGGGAGCGGGGCAGGGGGGCGGGGGTTCGCCGAGCGAGCTCCGGCTGCTGGGATGGCGGCGGATGAGAGCGGCGGGTCAGTCGGTCCCAGGCGGTGCGTTTCCCTCCCGCACGGAGAGCAGCACCGCAGAGTCCTGCGCGGGTGTGACCAGTTAGGGCCGCCTGCTCCGCCGCTGGGCGGAAGTCAGCGAGGGCCCGTATCCGCGTGCGCCGACACCCGGGACCCAAGGCTGGACTGTTCTGTGTTCCGCGTGCGTGGTCTGCGGGGAGGGGGGGTGTTAAAGGCGGGCGTGACGCGGCGCCGCGGTCTCACGTGACGTCCGGGACGCGGGCCCCGTGCAGTTTTTCACAGGCTGGTGGGTGATGATCGACGCGGCCGTGGTGTACCCCAAGCCGGAGCAGCTGAACCACGCCTTCCACACGTGCGGCGTGTTCTCCACCGTGGCGTTCTTCATGTGAGTGCGTGGGGGTGGGGTGGGGGGGTTCTCGGGGCCGGCTGGGCTGCCCGGGAGTCCTGGGTGCCCTCTGCTCCCTGGAGTAACTTTTTAATCTCATTGACGGTTTCTTCTTTCAATGGTCAATACATAAATAAATGAATTCCCATTTTATTTATATTTTTGTTAAAGATTTTATTTATTTATTTTTAGAGAGGGAAGGGAGGGAGATAGAGAGAGAAACATCAATGTGCGGTTGCTGGGGGCCATGGCCTGCAAACCCAGGCATGTACCCTGGCTGGGAATCGAACCTGCGACACTTTGGTTCACAGCCCGAGCTCAATCCACTGAGCTACGCTGGCCAGGACTTATTTAGATTTTTAAAAGTCAAGAATGAGTGCTGAGTTGAGTCAGATGTCATTTTAGCTTTTGTGAAGCTTGTCATATGATTGTTTCGTATTTGCTAAACTGGTTATTTACAGTATTTTATCAGTCCCAAGATTGTTTTTTTACATTTTATTATCTGGAAATATCAGGGTGCTTTTTATAGCCAGTGGCATCTTATAAATACAGTTAACATTTTTTCTTGGCAGTTTAAAAAATAATGGTGAATTTTATTTTATTTTAATATTTTATTAAATTTGTTTTATTTTATTTTTTATCACCATTTACCCTCCTGTACCCTCTTCTACTGCCATCCACCCCCTCCCCCCTGCAGTCACCACACTGTTGTCTGTGTTCATGAATTCTTTCTCTTTTCTTTTTAGCTCAATAGTGCTGAATTTTAAAAATCAGTTGCATCTTAGATTTAATGAAATTTGTTACATTTCTAGATTTTTTCTGTAGTGAATCATCCTTAAGTATTGTCATACACTCAGCTTTCACCATGGAGAATTATTTTTTAAAACAGGCTGCTTGACTGTGTTTGCCAGTTTGCGGCGGGGGGAGGGGCGGGCAGGATTGGGCTCCAAGGAGAAAGAAATGGCTTTTCTTTCTTATGAAATGACTTTCAGGTTTATACATGAGATCCCTTCATAAAAGAGTTTGACAGCTTCTCATGGATGCCTGTCAATGATAAGAAAATATGTTAAACATGAAGATTATAGAATTTTCTCCTACTGTCAGGGACTTTGAAAAGTTTAAGTTGTGGAAGGTGGAACTGCGTTCACTATTTACTTACTTTGCTTACGACGCTGAGACAAGGCACTCCCGCCGCAGCAGCACCCCGCTCGGAATCGAGCGGGCCGGTGGGTGTGGGCTCCCCGGGGACCGCTGCCCCTGCGCCCCAGCAGTGGGTCCGAGGACAGCGCCTGACGGACACACAGAGAGGCCTTGCAGTCTCGCCTGTGCTGTGATGAGAGCCGCAGCTGGACCGGCACGCCCGGGGCTCCCGAGTGTGGACGGGAGAGGTCAGGGAGTCGGGGGCCCTCTTCCCCAACCTCTGGAGATGCGTGACAGTGCGTGGTTACAATTGAGGATGTTTCCTGGGGGTCCCCAAGGACGGTGAGACCGATGTCACAGTCCTGTCCGCTGGGGACAGTCAGTACCTTTAAAGGCGTCTTCAGTTTCAGATGTTGACTTCAGTGCGAAAACGCCTGCCTTCCAAGTAACGAGTGAATGGCCGTGAATGTTTTGGCGCCACGAAAGCTAATGAGACGATTTTGTGTCGCTCCAGGATAAACGCCGTGTCCAACGCCCAGGTGCGAGGGGACAGCTACGAGAGCGGCTGCCTGGGGAGGACAGGTACGGCGGCGGCGGGGGTGTGGCGCGGGGTGGGCGCTGACCACGGAGCACACAGCGTCCCCGAGAGTCTTTGTGTGGGACGGGCCGCGGTGGGCACTGCACAGACTGACCCTGAAGGACAGTCACAGGGCTGTTCGTATCCTTAGGACAGTCAGAGTGGCCGCCAGGAGTCACTGTTTCTGCACCTGTCACTGCCCACCCTAGAGAGGGAACATGTCACGACTCAAAGCCCGCGGCTGCCAGGCTCCGGGCCGCTCCGCCGGTGCTGCTGACGGTCACTCTCATCCCCGGTGTTGGTCGGTGGCGCCCCCTGCGAGGCGCTGGCCCGGCGAAGCGTGGACGGGTCGGGAGGTCAGACCTGGGACCCCGAGGCTTTCCCGTTCAGTTGCGGTCGCCCGAAGGGAAGGGCCGCTGCGGCGTGGGCTCAAAGGGCGCACCGCTTGTCTGCGTGTGGACGACCGTTCCGGGGGTTTCGGTTGCTCTGGGCTGTCACCCAACAGCATTTTCCTGCTACTCAGGTTCTGACCCGTTCTGGTAGGGCCCAGGCGTCTTGGGTGGGATTTCCGGGCTCGTGGGCGAAGCTCAGGGTCAGAAGTTCCGCTTCCGACCTGTCGGGACGAGGGAGGCTGCTCCCTGGCTGTGGCTGGGAATGGGGGGGAGGTGGGAGGTTTTGAAAGATGATTAGGAGCAGTAGGAAGTTCGTACAGAACACTGGTGTGTGCCAGACCCTGTCCCGAGTTAACTTATTTAATTGTCACGATACTCCTGTGAGGCAAGGGGTGTTCACTGTCCTCACCTCTGGATGAAGGGGCTAAGGTGCAGAGAGCTTAACTAACCTGTCCACGTCCCCAGGCAGCAAGTCGGGGAGCCGGGGACTGAACCCTCACAGCCTGGCTGTGGGCCTGGACCTTCGGCCGCCGCGCCCTGCCGTTTGCAGTGGAGAAGCATGTGGTCTCCTTGTCTGGTGTGGTGACCTGTATACATTTGTCAGCTTGACTGCGTGTAATTCATGTAAAATATAAAACTCACCAATTTAAGGGGCCCAACGTGCCGAGTCGACAAATGTATGCAGTCGTGCAACTGCCATCACCCCAGAAATTCCCCTCTGCCCCTTTGGGGGTCTCTACCCGCACCCCCGCTTCCCCCCACTGACCTGCTTTCTCTCACTGTCGTGTGGCCACATAAATGGAGTCATGAAGTGGGTGTCACATTTTAAACCAACAAAGAAGCTGTGAAGAAAGAGCTCAGCTTTCTAAAAAGAATTTTCGTTAAACACCGTTCCGTGCGGTGAGAACACCCCGCAGGAGACCGGCTCTCTCAATAAACGTTCAGGCGCCCGGAGCAGCCCGGCTGAGCCCGGCGCGGCGTCGCCCTGCACGGCGTGAGCGCGGCCCCTCTGAGCAGGCGGTGGCGGGCAGCAGGCACGCCTCAGTTAAAAGCACGTGTGGGTGTCTTGTGCCCCCAGCCACGGCAGGTCACGTCGGGACTGAAGGAGAGTGAAGCGTAAGGAGGCGCGTCTTAGCTACTGAGAACGTGCGTAGAGCTCGGGATGATTTATTTGATTAGTTTTCTTTAAGGATCGGCCCACAGACGCTGCTGTGGGCTATGTCAGCGTTAACGGTTCTCTACGGAGAATCTCACCGCGATGCACCCACGTGTTTCAGCCCGAAGGCGGGCCCTGTACCTGCCCGGTGTCTGCCTTGGGTCTGTCTGGTCCCCGAGTCCGTCCCGGGACCCTCACTAGGTCGTCACCACACTTCACCCCGCTGTGAGTCCCTGCGCAGCTGGAATTTCCCGTGCTGTTGGCACGCGTTTACATGTGGTGCGTGCATGTAATGTGTGGCTTCGGGGGTTGAGGGCCGCCCGCCCGAGGGGCCGGCTCAGCTGCTGCTGCTGCGCCGTGGCGAGGGACGGCCTGGCTGTGACATCAGTCCTCACTCACATGCAGTCTCTCGTTCCTTGGTGGGGACCGTAGCCGGGACACAGCTGCTACTGCTAACAGAGCAGTTACCACATTTGGCCGTGTGTAATGTTGTGCACTTCTCCGCCCAGATTTTTGAGGGAGAGAGAAGGACGTGCATTATGTACGGGTGTAATGGTGACATACCACGGGCATGATAATGGGTACACGGCAAAATGCGGTGTCCAGTGCTTCGATAGTGTGTGCAGCAGAGGGAGTTTTTAGCCAGGGTTTCATTGGTCGGCTCAGTCAACAATCCCGGCTGCAGCTTGCCTGGCTCGGTCGCTCAGCTGTTAGTTTCTTCGGCCAGGAGAAGGGCGGCTCCGCCTTGAGCGTTTCAAAGGCCGCCCCCCCCGCCCCCTCCCCCCCACTGTGGCAGCAGGCGCACGGGGCGTGGGGCCCGTGGTGTCTCCGGGGCCCCGTGTGCCTGAGACCCGGGGCTGCCGGGCAGCCCCACCCTGACGCCCGTTCTTCCCGCAGGGGCTCGGGTCTGGCTCTTCATCGGTTTCATGCTGATGTTCGGGTCGCTCATCGCCTCCATGTGGATCCTCTTTGGTGCCTACGTCACCCAGAGTAAGTGTCTGTCCCCTTCCTTCATGTCGGGGGGCGGAGTCACACACGTCTTTTATGTGTGGCTTACTCCACCTGGAGTCAACGCCCGCGGAGTACTCAGTGTGCTCGCAGATGCGTCTCCGTGGGAGGCACCTGAGTCACCGGGCCTGCGGCGCAGTGGGGCAGCCCGGCCCCCAGCCCCTCGGCCCCCAGCCCCGAGCCCGCCGAGGGCTGCCAGTCGCCCTTCTTCACTACCGGCTCGGCCGCAGTACCTGACCTATAGTGACACGGGCTCACTGTAGTCTTTTTTTCCCATTTAAAATCAGATTAAAACAAAAAGATTTTATTTCTTTTTAGAGAGGGGAAGAGAGGGGGAGAAAGGCAGAGAAACATCAGTGTGGGGTTGCCTCTCGCGCCCCCTACTGGGGAATCGTGTGCACCAGGCACGTGCCCTGCCTGGGGATCGAACCGGCCACCCTTTCCTTCCCAGTCCGGCGCTCAGTCCACTGAGCCACACCCGCCCGGGCAAGTTCGTTGTCTTTCATCCGGAGTGAGAGCAGTCTTTTGTTTTGAGCGAGTGAGAGTCACGTTTTCTTCCTTCACTTTCATCGCCGACTTCTCAGAGCTCGGGAACACCAGCAGGATCGTGCGACGCGCCAGGCCTGTCCTGTGGACGGCATGGGGGCTTGGTCCCCGCCCCCTGCGCTTTGTAACCTTCTGTTTCACTTTGTGTGTGCAGATACCGAGGTTTATCCGGGGCTAGCCGTGTTTTTTCAGAATGCACTTATATTCTCCAGGTAAGTCGCCTAGTTTCTTACCCACACTTAAAACGTCTACATAAATGTCATCTTCACTGTAAGAGCAGCATGTACAGTGGGGCCTGCACAACTCCCTTACGCTAGTTACCGTGTGCAGAACTCTTTTTTTTTTTAAGATTTTATTTATTTATTTTTAGAGAGGGAAGGGAGGGAGAAAGAGAGAGAGAGAGAGAGACATCAATGTGCAGTTGCTGGGGGCTGTGGCCTGCAACCCAGGCATGTGCCCTGACTGGGAATCGAACCTGCGACACTTTGGTTCGCAGCCTGCGCTCAATCCACTGAGCTACGCCAGCCAGGGCAGGGGCCTTAAACGGAAGACATCAGAATTAATACTGACTACGTATGTCCCATGCACAGTCTGATCGGGGGGTTGGTTTTTTTAATTACGCGTTGGAGATAACTTAATGCATTAAAATAAAACAGCACTAAACGTATTTTTAAGGGCTGTCTTCTAAAAAGCCCCCCAAATGAGGCCCGTCTCCTGTGCGTCTCAGAATGAACGTCTTTTGATGTAAAGACTCAGGTTTAAATAATCGTGCTCACCAAATAGATCTAAAATGTGTTACGTTCCTTAATTAAAAATACTAATGGAACACACACAGTTCCAGCACGCAGCTCATTCGAAGGAAAGCGGTTTTTAAAACCAGCCCCCGTTTGTAAAGCTGTCCCCCTGTACGCTCTTCCTCACGGCCGGTGTGTCATCCTCCCCCCCCCCCCCCCCCGCAGCACCCTGATCTACAAGTTCGGGAGGACCGAGGAGCTGTGGAGCTGAGCCCGCCGCTGCCGGTGTCGCCTCCTTCGCCGCCTTCTGGCTGTAGATACGTTGTTACCTTTTACCGTAGTTTACACATTGCCAAATGAAATAGATTGTTCGTTAAATGTGTTTCTTTACCCTTTCATGCTCTGAGTTTTGAAATAGTTTTATGAGATTTCTGGGGTTTTTTAACGACTAGGTTGTTCCTATGTCTCTGCGGCGGTGGGGGTGGGAGGGTGGGGCCCGTCTTGCACCCCCGACCAGGGCGGCCCTGTGTCCCGGGCCGGGCCTGTCTCGGGTCGCTGTAGAGTCGCCTCGTCCGTCTCAGTGTCCCAAGGTTCCGGAGACAGACAGAAGACTCAGCCCCGGGTTGCCGGAATAAGCACTGAGCCCCCGAAAAGGGTATTTCCGCAAGTTGTACTTGATTTTGGCTTAAAAACAAGATTCTTTTTGTTTTTTAAGGAAATGTGTTTGTTCTTGTGTGTTAAAGAAGCGGACTTTTATATGGAGACTTTTCTACGTGCCTGAAGGACTAGTGCGAAAGCTTCTTTTAAAACCCGTTCCTTTAGTACGCGTTTGTCCGAGGAGGCAGGGCACGTGGCCAGGTCAGCCCGGCGTTACCGGCGCCTGGGAAAAGGCCCTCAGGCAGCTCGGCCGCTGCTTCCCACGAAAGCAGCTTCAGTGGCCGGCTCCTGGGGGCCCTTGGCAGCCCGAGCACCTGGGAGACGGCCAAGCACCTGGGAGACGCCGCAGCAGCTCCAGGGCGTGAACGCAGTGACGGAAAGCGGAGTAGTTTCGAGATGAAGCTCCTCCCCACAAAGAGAGCTGCCCTGACCCGGGGAAACCAGGGGCGTGTCTGCCAGCTGCCGGCCGCGAGCCTCCTTCCGCTCCGGCGCTCGAGCTTCGGGCACCAGCCTCCTGCAAACCGCGCCTGCAACCTGCACGTTCCCGTCCAGTCGGAGAGCTCCGGCGCCTGCGCGGCGCCCTGTGTCCGCACCAGGTGTGTCCCCGTGGGAGCTGTCCAGGGGTCTTTAGGCCTCTGCCACTGCTGCTCCCCGGCCCCCCAGGGTCTGCGTGGCCCGCGGCGTGAACGCAGCCCCCCTCTGCAGCCGCACCCTCCCCGCCCTCCGGCCCTTCCCGAGCCCAGAGCGCCGGGCTCTGAGGGGTGCTGTGCCTTTGTCCCGAGACCTCGGGGTTTCACTCCTCCCTCCCTCCTTGGCGGTGGTCTTTTCCTCACAATGTCCGTGAGTGTGTCTTGCTTCCAATCAGCTGTGAGACTAATTCCTTGTTTCCATTCTCTTGTAACCTGTTGTAATCAATAATTACATCCCCACATTGTGATGCCATTAAATATGTCGGAGAAAAGAAGCCATAAAAATTGGTTTGCTGCTCATTGGTCGATTATTCGAGCGGGCCAGGGAAAGAAGCCGTTCGTCTCTGTGCAGTCAGGGGTGCGGGGGAGAGGCCAGGCCGAGACCTGGGTGCTGTCGGACCGCGAGCTGGACCAGGCCACAGTGGGGGGCCCACTGCCACCCCCTTGGAGACGGGTCGGCACCCAGGCCCCTCCTGACACCCGTCAGCCCCTGCCACCTCCTGTGTCGTGCCGGCGCCTGGAACAGGCTCGTCCTGACTGAGGGGTCAGGCCAGGTCCCCAGACCCCAGCCCGCTAATGACCCCGCCAGGCCGGTTCCCACCTGCCGGCCTGCCCTTGACCCAGCTGTCCCGAATCACTGGGCCGCCTGCGGCTTAATCAAACCCTCTCACTGAGAACGACAGACACCTGGCACCAGCCACCGTGGCCGGGGGCAGACTGAGCTCCCGCACCTGGGAGCAGCCCGGCCCTTTCGCTGCCCCACTGTCCCTGCTCACACCCTGGCCCCCGGAGGCCCCCACGGGGAGAGCAAGAGACTGACCCTCCCTCATATGCCCCCCACACCCTGCACCTTTTCTTTAAAAAAAACCTCCACGCCTGCCTCCCCTGGTGCTGGGGTCGACCCCAGCTCATCCTGGCCCTCGGCGCAGCACCAGATAGAGGCACTGGGACCAGACCGCCCGGGGCCCGCCGCCTCCGCCTCTCGAGAGTTGCCAACACTAACCTGGTCCGGGCTGTGGTTCCTGCACCCGGTGGCCACGCCCTGGACCACGGACCCTGCACCCCTCTCTGGGGGCACGCCCCCACAGGCCACGGGACGGTGGCTTGGGTTGTCGCTGGTTTTTTCCCTGTGGCGTCGACCGCGTGAGGCTGGCCGGTGAGACCCACTTCCACTCACCATCCCCGAGGCCGTGGTGGACACGGTGGGAGCCTCCCCCTGGTTCCAAAACACGTGGGAGGGGCACAGGCTTTCCCGGGGCCCTGGGGGACGGGCGACGTTGGGCAGGAAGCCTCAGCCCCATCTGTGGTCCAGTGGACCGGCACCTGCTGGACCAGAGTCAGGGCAGCAGACTCGCTGGGCAGACATTAAAGCCCCAGGCCCTGCCGGGCCCACAGCAGGGGCTGTGGAAGGTGTCGGGCTCGCTCGTAAGCACTACACTGAGCCGTCCTTCGTGTCCCTGCCCGTAGGGCGTCTCCGCTTCCGGGAGGAGGCGGTGCCTGGGCAGAAACACGCACATTAGCCTCGGGCCGCCCACGGTCACTGCAGGCGGGCACCAGAGGAGGGCAGCGCACGGGCGGGCCAGCTTCACAGTGCTGGGGCCGGTCCGCACAGCGGCCCCTGTCCCGTCTCTTCCCGCGAAAGAGACGGGACAGGGGCCCGTCTTCACCAGACCCGCGAAAACTGCAGGGGAGCAGGGCCCCGCCCCTCGGCCCCGCCCGGCAGCCCCACTGGGGAGGAACTGCGGGTTCAGCCCACAGCTCCCCCGCCAAGTGCGGGCCCCAAATCGGCTCCGCTGTGCGTGCGCCCGGCCTCTGGTCTCGCTCAGGCCTTCCCAGCCGGGGAGCGAACCCAGTTGTTCCCATAAGGGGCTAGAAAAAACCCTGGTGCCCCGGCTGAATATGTGCAACGGGGGGGTCACAGGTCAAAGGACACGCTGTTGCACAGAGGCTGGCATCCCACAGAACCCACGGGCGGCCGGGCGGCGGGACAGTGCCCTTGAACAACAATGGAGTCACTCGCTGGGCGCCGGCTCCAGCCGGTGGACAGAGGTGCTGCTGTCCCGGGTGTTCATTCACTGAAGTGGCCCGTGGGGCCTGCTGCCCCCTCGGCCAGGCAAGGGACTCGGGCCGGGACATGCAGCACCGTGCAGCTGTGGACAGCAAAGAACAAGCCAGCGGCCCTGGCGCTGGTCTCGGACCCCAGGGCACGGTCATGAGGGCCCCGTCGTCCCTGGAAAGGGGACCGTTTACCGGACTCTGAACCGGGACGTCCTGCTGGGGTCGGCCGTCACTGCACGCCCCCGGGTGGGGGGCAGCTGTTCACACTCTGGGGGGAGCCTGTCGCGTTAACGCCGTCGGGGGTCGTGGAAACACCCCGCGTGTGGACCGGGGCGCACCGCTGAGAGGAGAGGGCGGAGGGCCCCCGTCTGGCCTGCTCCCTCCCACGCACCTCCTCGCTCCTGAGGGTGTCGCCCCCCGCCCCCCCAACCTGTGAGGTCGGCACGGCCTGGCCGGGCCCCGCGGCTGCGGCCGCACTCACTCAACCCTGGAGATCAGGTACGGCGTGATTTTCACAGACCCCCAGTCCGAACCCCTGCCAAGTGCCTGTCTTTCTGACCTTGACCTCCTGCTGCGCCGCTGGCATTTGGTTCCAGCTGCACGCTCGATCGGAACGTCTCCTCGCAGCGGGCCACCGCTGGCACCTGGACGGCGTCTTTGGCCCCCTCTTTTCCTGCGTGCGCCTGTGCTGTCGGGGACCGTGCCTCCCGCAGCCGAGGGTGACCAAGCGCGCGAGCTCCCTGCTACCGGGGCCTCTCGCTCAGGGCACCCGGGGCGCTGGGGGCGCGTGAGGTTGTAAGGGCCGGTCACCAGGGGGCAGTGTGGAGGACACACTGTTCCGTGACCTGAGCGCCTCCTGCGTTGTGCCGGTTCCTGGAACAGGCTCGTCCTGACCTGGCCGGCCCGGCACCGTATTCCGTTGGGGACACATCTCGTCCTGCGGTCTAAGGTGCCCTCACGTGTCAGTTCATAGACTCGATTGATTAGCAGGCGGCGCAGCAGCCTCCCTCCCAGGCCCTCCCGGCCCTCTGCTCCGGGGGTGCGGCTCGGTCGGTCTCAGGGCCGCTCCCGGCTGTGCGTGTTCGAACCAGGGGCGGTAGATGCCACTCAGACGCGCGGCGTGCCAGCGTGGGGACCCATGAAGGCGCCCAGAGGTCCCGCTGGAAGGGCTGGCCGCTGGCCTGTTCCTGGTTTTCAGCCGGGGAGCCAATCACTTGCCGTCCCCGTTGCTTTGCTCCTTACGGTCAGTCTCCCCGCTCCCAGGGCGTGTGGAGCGGAAAGTGCTCGACCTTGACAGGCGGTCAGTCCCCTTGCTGTCAAGGTCGCCCTGTCTCCCAGCTGCAGTGACCGTGCAGCCGAGAGTCTTCTGGTGTTTGCGTGCAGGCTGACACGGCTCTTCTATCGCTTACGTGGTTTCCAAGAGGCCCCCAGCCGGCTGGCACTCAGGGGCCCTCAGCCGCAACTCCCTGCACGTGGGGCCGTTTTACAGGGGAGTCACCAACAATGGAAGGAGAGGCCCCTAACAGTTACACGCACACGTGTGAGAACGAGGCTCTGGTGGACCGTGGGAAGGACACTGTTTCCGGCGTGAGAGCTGAGACACAAGAGGCCGGTCTTGCAGATACCAAGGAAGTCTCCTTTCTCCGCCCCTTCCCTGGCCCGCCCCCCCCCCACCTTGGCCTCAGCACCCTCCAGTACAAAGGGCTCCACCTGCTGCTTCCTCACCCAGGGCTCTGCCGCGCCGCCAGGGGGCGCTGTTCACAGCGCGGGCACAGGTGGGCTCGTTTGCTTACGAGAATTCGTGGCACTTGAAATCGGTGCCTTGTAAGATAGGTGCCTTCATCTGATTCACACAAAGGTCCCTGAGAGGCTTGCAGGGCCCTCCTCGAGGTGCAGAAGGTCCCCAGGTGGAAAGCTGCGGTTGCCTAGCAACAGGCAAAACTGGAGAAGCAAGGACCTAGTCCCTAGCACGTGGCTGGTCTTGCAGCTCAGACCCCGGACCTTTCCCCCCTAGAGAGAACACCTGGGCCTCGGGCGTGTCTCAGCTCCGGCCTCGGGACCGGCCGCACTGACTGAGGACGGAGACCGCGGCCCTGGGAGCACACACCTGGAGAGCCGATGTGCGTTCCACTGAGATCCTGCCCGGAGCTCCCCCAGGCTCGCCACCCCTGCCGCCAGGGGGCGTGCCTGCGCCGCTCCCCTCCCCTCCGGTCTCCTCTCCTTCCCCCACCAGGCAGCGCCTCCTGGACCCTGAGGGCCCCTGGGAGACCTGCAGCCAGCGGGCAGCGGCAGCGCCCCCAGGCTCCCACCACCCCGTGACCCCGTCTCCAAGGCCCCTTTTCTCCGACTCCCTGGTGAGCTCAGGCGGCCCGGCCCGGGCTCTCCCGTTGCTCCTCCTCCGCGGGGCCCTTCCTCGCCCCGCCGCCCTGCGTGTGCGTCTGCTGCGGCCAGGAAACTCCTGCCTCGCTGCCTCCGTCTGGCGACTGGAATCGTCCCTTCGGGAGGGCAAGAACTGAGGTCCGGTCCGGTCCGGTCCGGCCCGGCCCGTAGTGCTGGCAGAAGGCCCGCTTCCCTCCGCCGAGGTGCGCCCTCCCGGACGCCGCGTGCGTCCCTGGCCCACCACGTGCCTCGGGGGGCGTGTGCGGCCCCTGAACCACGTCATCTCGGCGTCGCGTGGGGTCCTGACCTGCGGGGACGCTGTGGGTCCGTTTCTCCTACACGAGAAACACCTCGCCGTGCAGACCAGGGCGCAGCGCAGCTCCCCTCGTGCGAAGGCTCCGGGCCTGGTGGGCGCGCAGTCGGCCCGCCCTGGCGGCCGGGCGCCACCTCGCGGGGCGGACGCAGTCACGGAGGAGAGACATCAGCGGACGAGGGTCCCGGTTGGCTTGTGGGCGCTGGGGTTCAGCTTCCACGGACGTCGGATCTTCTGTAACCATGTGAAGACGGGAAACGATGCTCCTCCGCTCGCAGGCCGCACGGGGCCGGGGAGCAGGCCGGGCGGTGCTGGGGCAGCTGGCTCTGTCACAGGTGACCCGGGAGATGGCGTCTGTCGGAAACGGATCCACTCGCCAAGAGGGGTTTCCTCGGGGGCGGGGGCGGGGGTGAACGCGGCAACCCAGCCAGGTGCCCGCACGGCCGCACGCTCACCCGAGGCGCCTGCCCGATCGCAGGGGCCCGCGAGGGGAGGAAGAAGGAAGTTGGGGGAGGGGCCGTTACAAGCACAGAACCCGACTGCGGGCAGAGAGTTTTCCCCAGCGGGGTGAGCGCCCCCCCAGGACCCTCCGCGCTGGGTGTGGTTAAAGTCCCAGGCGATATGTTTTTTTAATTAAGATTTTATTTTTATTTGTTTTTAGAGAGAGGGGAAGGGAGGGAGAAAGAGAGGGAGAGAATACGGATTGGTTGCCTCTCTCGCAACCAGTAGGGACCAGGTTCCCTACTGGGGGCCTGGCCCGCAACCCAGGCATGTGCCCTGACTGGGAACCGAACTGGTGGCCTTTCAGTTTGTGGGCCAAAACCCAACCCCCCGAGCCACACTGGCCAGGACTAGTGCACCTTTATTGCTTCCAACTCAAACATGTCTTGATGATGTACTTGGCTTGACGAGAAATGAAGTCCCCAGGTAGTACAAGGAACAATTCCATTGGTCGGGCATTTGTTGTATAGTGTTTTTGGGAAATACTATAAAAAAGGAGGGGCTTACTCAAAAAATTCCTGCGCTCTCCCCACCCTGTGTAACAGGCCAGCCCCGCCCCTAGCCGAGCTGCACTGAGCTAGGACGGTGGGGGGTCTGCAAGGGGCAGCACATCTGCTGTGGGGGGGACCCCGGTTTGGGGGGAGTGTCAGCACCCCCTGAAGGCAGTGACCTTGGGGAGCCTGGCCCCGGGCTGCTCCCGGCTTCGGCTCCTCCGAGTCCGTCACCCACTCAAGCTGCTGCCTTCCACCAGGAAGGGCCTCTCTGCGCCTGACCACCACGACCTCCCGCCCCAGGACACTCGCTCGGTTCCGCCCCAACCCAGTGCAGCCTTTCGAATCGGGACTCCGGCACCAGCCAGCTCACCCCTGACAGGCCGCACCCCCTTGTCATTACACAGGGGGGCGCACTGGAGCTCGCTGCGCACACAACTTCTCACTTGACTCTCGCAGAGCCAGGCCGCCCACGTCCTGCGGGGCTGCGACTCCGCCTGTGCTCTGCGGGCTGCCTCTGTGTCCCCTCCTCGTCCCCTCCATGGGCTGCGCCCCAGGACGCTCCCTACCTCGAGCTTCCTCCACGCGCCCCGGCAGGTGCTCACAACTCCAGCCTCGCACTGCTCCTCGGCACCTGCCCTGGCTGGAGGGGCACCCAGCAGACGGAGCGGAGGCCTCCGAGGGCACTGGCCTGGGTGTCCTCTGGCCTCCTGTCACCCTGGATGGCGGGATACACAGAGCTTGGCCACCAAGTTGGGCCCTGAGAGCCAATTCCTCGCCACCAGCACAGACCCCCGACCGAGAGAGAGAGAGAGAGAGAGAGAGCGCGCTCGCAAGCGCACACACGCGCATGCAGTTCCATCGCCTCGTGCTGGAAGCTCCGTGCACCCCCAGCCAGCCCATCTTCTTCCCCTGGTCACGTCAGGCTGCCGGGGGGGCTTCTTCCTGGAGCAGGTGTCACAGCAGCAGCTGTGTCACTGGGCGTGTGAGGTGGGGCGGGGGCGGGGGGCGAAGCTACACACTCATTCCCTGCGTACTGGGGCGTGTGAGCTGTAACCCGTGTCCTCGGGACAGAAGAGCCTGTCTTCACGCGCAGTCAGCAGCCCCGCTGCGCACAGTGGGTCCGGCGACTGTCACCAGCAGATGCTCGTCACGGCCCGTCAGCCCCTCACAGTAAACGAGGTGCGGACACAGCTTCTGAAAACCCTTTTACACCTTTTTTTTTTTTTAAATCCACACATGCTCATCGATCCAAGAGAGAGAGGGGAGGGAGGGGGAGAGAGAGGAGAGAGATGCTGATGTGATGGAGGGGCATCGATCGGTTGCCTCTTACACGCTCCCCAACAGGGGATCGAACCGGCAACCCAGGCGTGTGCCCTGCCCGGGAACCGAACCCTCAGCCCTTCAGTGCTGGGGACGACGCTCCGACCCACTGAGCCGCCCCTGACACACCTCGCCGACCTCTCCAGGGACCCGGACGGCAGACGCAGCCGTGCCTGCGGAGTGGCCACGAGGTCTGGGTAGCTCTCCTGGGCGTTATTTCGGAAAACGAAACTTGAGTTGCAGCAATTTTAAAACTGAAATTTTGCAGAAAATAGGCCAAATAAAGATGACAAAGTGGAGAGGAAAAAACCTCATGTAGACCTTTAACAAGTTACTTCCACAGTTCTTTATTCGGTATGAAAAAAAAAAAAGAGACGACCTTAAATTACTAGGAAAGTGTTTACAGGATTGATCACATTTTAAGTCACATGTGACGGACCGCCAGTGTCCCTTGCCGGGACAGGCCGGGACGGGTTCGTGACCTGCCCAGGGGGAAGACCGATGACACTCAGAAAGAGCGTCAGGGGTGCCAGAGCCGTCTGGCTAGGAAATAATTACGTCTTCTTAGTGTTCAGAAGAAATTTTCATTTTCTAGAATCATCTCAGGAAATCACAGGACTAGAAAATTCTTCAAGAAAGAACAAACGTGCTGCCCCCATGGGACCCGCCAGTCCCGGGGGCTGTCGTGCAGTGGGGCCGCAGGGTCCCGGGCTCCGAGTGTCCTGCCAGGATGGCAGCAGCAGCGTCACAGCTCTGAGTCTGCGCCCGCGGGCTGGGGACTCCCGGGGCCTTGGTCCCGCGTGCTCTGGAGCATCTTCTGCTCCTCGGGAGCCGACAGGACGGACACGGAGTCCCAGGCGTCCTCCTTGGGCGTGCTGTCTTGGTCCATGGCCTCCAGGACGGGGTCCTCCGGGTCCCGCAGATACTTGAAAAGGGCGAGAGCCACAGGTGTTATGAGCCCGTCAGTCTCAAGCACCGCCCCACGGCTCCCTCCGCAGCCACAGCCGGCGCCACCCTCTTTTATTCAGGTTCAACTCCACCCTCCACCCCGGACCTGCCTCCTCACTGACAGCTCCGGCCTGCGTCGAGGCCCAGCCCAGGTCACACTCTGAAGGTGGGAAGGGCTGTCGCCCTCGGGAAAGCAAGCTCTGCCCTGCGGCCCGAGGTGCCGGGGTGTGGTTATTCTCCCATGCTCGCTCTCAGCGAAGGGGGGGAAGCAGGGTCTTGTGACCCCGATTGGGCAGGACGGGGGAAGAGAGGTATGGACGGCAGCCCCCGGGGCTTGCTGCAGCCGGCCTGGAGGAGCAGGCCTGGAGGAGCAAGCAGGGGCCCGCACTGTAAAGTGACACTTCCCTGCTCCCAGCTGTCCCTTTGGCTCCCGCTTCTGCCTCAGGCTCAGCCTCAGGTGGCCGGGGTTACCGAGAGCCTGGTGCCCGGCTCCCGAGGCACAGCCGGCCTGGACCCGTGGACTAGGGAGGCACTGCGCCCTTTGGGCCCTGGACACGGGATTCGTTACTGGCACGTAACGTCGGTGGCCTGCGATCGACATTTCCCCTTTCCCAGGAAAGTGAACCCAAAGACTCTGGGTGCTCGAGTCAAGGCTCATGGGACCACCGGGCAGGAGGCAGTGGGTGCCAGCCCTCTGACAGCTGGTGCGTTACTTTTACGGGACGTCCTGCAGTTGCTTTGGGCTTCGCTTGCGGTGAGAAGCCTTCACCCGGGTCCTACCCTCCTAACCAAACTGAAGGCGCCGTGAGGGGTGACCGTGGCCCGTGCAGGCGGCAGGTCTCTGGACCTCACGCTGGTGGCCCAGCGGCACCCCTCCCAGCCCCTGGCACCCCCACTTGTCCTCCTCTGTCTCTGGGAGCCTGACCACTCCAGACCCGCCCTGGGGGGGGGCGGGGTCGTGCGGTATTTGCACGGGGGTCCGAGCCGGGACTTCAGAGAGGTCCGTCTGGTTCCCAGGCACCTGGATGCCTCACGACACCTGATGGAAACGGGTGACTGCGGCTCTTTCTAGAACAGGGGGTCAAGCTCAGGTTCACCGGAGGCCACGTCAGCCTCGTGGGTGTCCTCAAAGAGCCGAGTGTAATTTCAACTCCTTAACAGTTAAGAGAAGCAGTTACATGTACACAGTCCTGAAATTATTTCGGCCCTTTGAAGGCCACCGCCAGGCTGAGGTGGCCCCCGGTGAACCTGAGCTTGACCCCTGTCCTGGAGGCACGGCCGTCTTCGCAGGCGTGGGCCCCGTCTGGCTCCTCTCCGTTCTGGCTGCACCAGGACCACCCAGACTCCGTCTGCGGTGAAGCCACCGGAGCGGGGCCCCCAGAAGCAAACACTTGTAACTACTCTCCTACCAGCCCGCCGCGAATCCCAACCATATCCCGGCTGTCGCCAGGGGGCCCGGCTGCCTCGCAGAGCCCAGGGGCTCGGGCAGTGCAGGAGTGCCCCCCCCACCCCAACTTTTCTTTCTCGAAGCCTTTCCGGTACTAGTGACCTCCGCTGAGCCCCTGCGCGCAGAGCCTTGTGCTCCCAGCCCTGGCTGCGCTGACTCTAGAAGAACCCCAAGGACGCCCCATGGCCCCGAAGCTCACGCCCCTGACTTCGGTCTCCACGGCCTTCGTGGCTCCAGCCAGGCATCCCCGCGTGTGCTCTCCGAAAAGCACAGGACCTGCGCGCTGCCCAGACACAGGGACCTCCCGCCACCCAGCTCTAGGTTGCCGTTGTGGCCAACCTTGTGCCACCAAAAAAACACTTGAAAATCCTGGTTGTGCCCCGGCTGGTGTGGCTCAGCGGATTGAGCACTGGCCTGTGAACCATAGGGTCGCCGGTTCGATTCCCAGTCAGGGCACATGCCTGGATTGTGGGCCAGGTCCCCAGGGGGGGCACGTGAGAGGCAACCACACACTGATGTTTCCCTCTCTTTCTCCCTCCCTTCCCCTCTGTAAAAATAAGTAAATAAAATCTTTAAAAAAACCCAAACTATGGTAGTACACACACAACATAGAAAGTAGCATCTTAGCCCTTTCGCGGTGCAGTGCAGCCGTGTGAGGTGGGCCGGGAGTGCTGCGCCACCCTCACGGCCCTGTCCCCGGAACGCCTTTCACTCTGCAGATCTGAGATCTAACCCTAACTCTAACCCCACCAAACGCTAGTGCCCATGTCTCCGGAAACCACCGCCCCCCACTGTCTGGGAGCGGGACTGCCACCTCCCAAGAGTGGGTCTGTACGGCGGCGTTCGTCCTCGCGCGTCTGGGTTCTCTCTCCGAGCACAGCGCCCTCCAGAGGCCCCTCCCGCTGCAGCGGGGTCAGGCCCTCCCTCCTTTCGGAGGCTCGGGAGCGTCCCAGTGCGGGGGGCCTCGCGCTGCTTTGTCTGTTCTTCCGCTGGCGGCCACTGGGGGGAGCTGCCGCCTCCCGGCTGCTGCGGGTAAGGATGCTGCGCACGCAGGCGCAGAGACGACCCCAGCCGGTTTTCAGTCCCGAGCCGGGCGCACAGCTCTGCCCGCTTCGGTCCCCCGAGGTGCCCACACCCCCTCGCGGACCCGACCGGCGCGCGAGCTCACCTCTCCTATTTGGACGGGGACGCCCGGCGGAGTGTGGAGCCAGTGCTTGATCAGGCCTCTGTACCTCAGGGTCAGGAAGACGCAGGCGCCTGCCAGCGCTGTCAGGGACAGGAAGGTCCCCAAGGCGATCAGGACGACTTCCTGGAGCTTGGTGGAGGCTGCAGAGAGGACGAAAAGTGAACCACAGGGCCAGCCCACACCCGATGTGGACATCGGGCGGCTTTTCGTCTGCGGACTGTTAACTCTATTCCTGTCCCAGTGGAGCGGACGTGCACAGGCTGTCCTCGCCCCCCACGCTCAGCTCACAGCTCGGAAGGCACGCCTCAAACAACGGCAGGCCCCGGCTGGCGTGGCTCAGTGGACTGAGTGCCGGCCCGTGAACCCAAGGGTCACCGGTTCGATTCCCAGTCAGGGCACATGCCTGGGTTTCGGGCGAGGTCCCCAGCAGGCAGCGTGAGAAGCAACTGAACATTGATGTTTCACTCCCTTTCCTTCTCCCTCCCTTGCCCTCTCTCTAAAAAAATAATAAGTAAAACATATTTTTAAAAAATGACGCCCGGGCTGGGGACGTCAGCACAGGCTCACAGCACTGTGGCCTCCCCCTCTGGTCGCCCGCACTCCGATGAGTGTGCCCCAACTCCACTCCCTTAGGGGCGTTCCTCCCCGGCTCAGAAAAGACCCCAGAAGGCGCATCTTACCATCCGCTGCTGTTTCGTGACAAGACACGTTGCTAAAAAGCCCTTCCGTGGACATCTTGTTCGAATTCCAAACCAGCGTGGCCCTCACTTGTAAACAGTACACTCGTAAAGGCTTCAGATCTTTCAGCTCAATTAATGGGTTCCTGAGGCAGCCATTGTCCTACATGGGAAACACCGACAGTCACTCAAGTGGACAAACGGAGCAGCCGGCCACCCCCTCTGCTCGCCGATGCGGCCCTCTGTCCGCAGTGACCACAGCTGCACAGAGGCCCTGGCGGCGGTGGCGGCCACGTCTGTGTGTGACCGCGGGCAGGCGCTGTGAAGAACAATGCCGCTGAGTTCAGGGCGGCCTCTGAGAAACCACCATTTCTAGGATGAAAGTTTCTCCTTTAAAATGAGCATTTTGTAGTTTGTGGTTAATCAAATGGAGATACTTCAAGTATGACAACAGAGCAAATAAATCATTCCAGGAAAAACATGACGAGCCTTTCACGCACGGACAACCTGCTATCGGGCCCACCTAAAATGAGCTGATTCCTCTTTTAGTTTTGGTCAAAACGGCCTTGGCTATTCATGGACACATCCTCGGAGGGTCCATCTCCTCTCTGCCCTTGACCCCACCCCTGGCTGCTCCCTGTTGTCCTGGCAAAGGTCACTGTTCCACAGGAAAACGAGAAAAAGATGTACCACGTTATGGCAACACAGGACTCCTGATAAGGGACTGCTGTCTTGTTTTCAGAGACGGTAGAATACACGGTAGCCGTTGGGAATGGTGGTGTAGCCGCGCTCGGCCACAGGCGGCCTGGGAAACCGCCCGCCGGGGATCTGGGGCCCAGGGCCCCCACGCCTCCCCGGTGTGCGGAGAGCTGTTCTTTTGCGGGCTTTGCCGTGCCGGCGACCTCAGACCCATCTCCAAGCAGCGACGGGAAGGCAAACGGACAAAGGGCACGAGAGGGAGACTGTGAGTGGGGTGGGCAGGGGCCCGGGTGAGCACGGACTGGGGGACGCGCCTCATGGGCCCGCCCGGTGCAGACCCCGAGAAAGCGCTCGATGCACACACCCTCCTGTTGTTACTATAAAAGTGATGACCATGTTGGCATTCGGAATCCTGACGTTCACACAGGTCATGAAACCTTGTTAACCGCGGCACGGAGAGCCAGGCCCTGAAGACGACGAAGAGCCATCATTTTGTCCCTGCGCTCCGCAGGGCCAGCCGGGCCCTGTGGTCCAAGCCCCTCTGTCCACCTCGTCGCCTGCCCCTCCTCCCTGGAACGCTCTCTGTCCTTCCAGGCGACGGACGTCCCGCCCGTTCCCATGGGCCCTCTTTGCGAACCGTCCAAACCCGAGGGGCGTATACAGCAGTTAAAGCGTGTTGTGGTGGCTCCTTGTTGTAGGAACTGACCCGCCAGAACCTCCTCCCGACTCCAGAGTGTGGCGAAGGCGCTACGAGCAGTGTGCCAGCAACACCTGGACCCCAGGTAACGGGGACCCTGTGGCACCAGACAGGGGGCCCCCCTGCCCCGACGGACTGGCAGAAGGGGTCCCTCCGAGGGAGGAGGAGGTGGGCTGAAGTCAGCTCAGCCTGACGGCATGGCTCAGAGGGCAGCCGTCGTTGCACAATTCGAAAGGTCGCTGGCTCGGGCCAATGGATGTGTGTCTCCCTCTCTTCCTCCCTCCCTTCCCCTCTCTCTAAAAAATAAGTTTAAACAATCGGCTGTGGCCCCAGACTCTAAGGAGACACTGGGGCGTCCTGTTCTCCTCGTCCATTTCAACTCCTGCTTTCTTTTGCTGCATCAGAAACTCGAACAAGAGAAAATCACAGCTGAAACGCAATGCTCTCACCTGTGGGTCTCCCGCGTTCTCCAGTGTCCAGTACCGGACACAATAGGAGAAGTGGGTGGTGGCGGGCTCCACGTCAAAGGGCGGGGAGAAGCTGAGGGTCAGGGAGCCCGGCCCTGGGGTCACCCGGATGTTTTCTGGAGGTCCGACGGTCACTGGAATAGGATTGCAAACGACACCGAAACTATGTAAGTGTACGTGCACACATGGTGGACATACACACACGACAGGAATCACACACACGCACCCATGAGGCTGTCACAGACAGTGCGTGCAAGTCCACTGAATCTCGCGTACGTGGCGTGCACACAGGCACACACAGGTTTATGCAGGTGATGAGGTTGTGTTTAGGCACACGAGACCACCAGGGACACAGGTCGGCCCAGGAAGGCCCCAGGGCCCCTGCCTGCAGCAGCACCCACACGGCAGCCCAGAGCGAGTCTCCAGGGTCTCGGGTGCGAGGAGCCAGGCAGGTCCTTGACCACAAAGTCACAAAGCCAACCCCCCTCTCAGAACCTCACAAAGAACAGCTCCCAGGGCCCCACAAGATCAAGCCCGGGCACAAAAGCCCACAGGTACGGCTTCCGGCCAGGATTCCAGGCTGTCCCCGTGGAAATGCAGTGCCCCGGTCAGGGGTGACGCCAGCCACGGGCCATGCCCTCTAGTTTCCTAACTGACACGCCACCTTGGTGAGGTTTCTAGGGACACCGTGCAGGCAGGTGAACCGAGGTCACACTTGCCTGCTGAGGGGGAAAGGTTTCAGTAGCCCTAACCTACCACCACCACCACCACCAGGGCAGGCAAGCGGGCTGGCCGAGAGGGGCAGAGCCCGCGTGCACCCCACGGCAGCCTCGCTGGAGCACAGCAGGGCCTGTGACCCGCGGGCCAGCTGCTGCTGTGGGGCTCCCACCTCCGCAGGACACAGCTGCCGAACTTCCTGTGACTCACCCGTGGTCCCCCAACCCCCCCCGCCCCACCCAGGCCAGAGCCACTAATCCCTGAACCACTGCCAGAGCAGCCAGAGACCTGCCCTTCCGAAGCAGCCCGGGTCTGGAATCTGACACCAACCCTCTCGAGGGGGAGGGGCACCACCTGCCTTCTCTCCACCCACGGACCACTTGACGGGAGGCGGGAGGAACTGTGGCCACCAGCTTTCCTGTCCGGAGCGGTGGCCAGGAGCCAGGCAGCCCGCACTCCCAGGTGTGGCCACACAGACTCACACCTGTGGTCCCATCGATGCGTCACCTCCCGCCACCGCCGACTCCGTCCTCGGCCGCCCAGTACAGGCAATCTCAGACACAGGAGATCGCGACAAAGCTTCTGTGCTTGTCCACAGAGACTGTCACTAAGTAGTTACTGTCCCTAAACTCTAGTGGGTGTCTCTAAAGGATAGGATCCCCCTTAAAAAACATGGACAAAAACATTTTTAAAAAGAGTGAAAGATCTTCATTAACGTTGCTTTCCAAATATTGCTTTCACATCATTAGTAAGATATATTATTTTTAAGTTAAAAAAAGCACACAGACAAAACACCATTACAAAACACCTAAAATAAACAAACAACAGTGGCATAATAGATCATCAAATACCTGGAGAGGGCTCTGGCCGGTGTGGCTCAGCTGGTTGGAGCGTCGTCCCCTAACCAAAGAGGTGCAGGTTCGATCCCGGCCAGGGCACACGCCTGGGCTGCAGGTTTGATCCCCAGGTCTGGGTGCGGGGCACCCCGGACCAGGCGTGTGTGGGAGGGAACCAATCCATGCCCCTCCCTCGCAGGGATGTTTCTCTTTCTCCCTTCCTCTCTTAATGCAACCCTAAACATGTCTTTGGGTGGCGACTAAAAAACCACCTCAGTTGCCTTATATCTTGTTTAAATCCGGACCCCGGTAAGTTCCACACCGCGTGTCTGTACGAACTGCAGACGGGGAAGAAGCCTCAGGCCCACGCGACCAACGAGCCCTCAGAGCAACAAGCCGGGATCGCACGGTTCTTGCACCCCTCCCCCCGCCCGGGACGTGCTCTTCACGAACCACCCAACACGCGTCTACTCAATCCCACTGCGTGCGGGCCCCGCAGCCTAGAGCACAGTCTCCCTGCACGGTAAAAGAGGTCGTGCCAGAACAGCCCCCGCGTGGGCGTGGCCTCCAGTGCGCCGGCCGGCGGACTTTCCAGGAAGGCGCCAGGGCAGGTTTCGCTCTGCAGGCCAGGCGGCGCCCGCTGCAACTCCTCTGCTGTGGCAGAGGGCCAGCAGCCGCAGAGAACGCGTTAGAAGAGGGTGTGACTGCGTTCCAATAAAACTTTATTTAAAAAACAGGGCAGCGGACCTCATTGGGCTGCAGTCTGCGGGCCTCGTGTCTCAGCGAATCCCGCCCCCTGAGCACCGTGCTTGCGCCCCCAGCTCTTTGCTGGCTGCCTGCGCACCGCGAGCGGCAGGGCTGCGGCCCGCAGCGGTGCAGCCAGCGGTGCAGCCGCGCGGAAAGGAGCTCGCTTACCGTTCAGGTAGCGCTGGAACCACGGCGCCGCCGCCCAGGCCGAAGCGCGCTCCGGCAGCTCGGCGCGGACACGCAGGGAGATGTTGTGAAGCGGGTCAAAGAGGGCTGGGGCGAAGTTGCACTCCCTCGCGGCGATCCTGGAGCAGTTCGCCTTGTGGGAGTTCGGCGGTGCGAGGTCGAACCAGTCACTGCTGGTGGCGCTGCAACGACAAAGAGGATTTCACTTCCCAGAATTCTCCCCTCCACCGCGTGGGGCAGTGTCCCCCCAGCTGACCTTGTGAATGCAGTTGTGTCCAGGCCCAGTCCGCACCCCACACTGCGCACCCACCGAACACGCAGACTCGGTGGCTCGAGGCATAGTCCACAGGGGTGTACCATGGCCGCCAACAGCAGTTCGAGGACACTTTCGCCATCCACCCAAAAGCCCTGGCACCCACGAGCAGCGGCTCCCCATTCCCCGCCGAACCCCGAAGTCCTGGGCAGCCACTCGTCTGCTTGCTGTCTCTACAGATTTGCCTCTCTGGACGTTCCACATAAGTGGACCACCACCTGACCTTCCATGATTCGCTCCTTTCACTTAGCATGTTACACTTAGCATGCTTGCAAGCATCATACATGTTGCAGCATGCACCAGTATTTTACCCCTTCTAGGGGCCGAATAATAACATCCCATCGTAGGACTACACCACGATTTGTCTATCCATCTATCTGTTAATAGACACGTGGGTTGTTTTCACTTGTTTATGTTGTGGTGGCCAAAAAGTCCACGTGTTTTTTTTTCTGTAAAATAAGACACATTTTCCATTTTCACCAATAACTTCATTGATTTGGATAACTTGAGTATTATCAACTATCTCCCGCATGGTATGATGTTGATTGTTCTCAATTACGGTCTCAGTTTGACCGCAGTCAACTCCAACCGGTCTACGCGGCCTGGAGCACCGTCCGGCTGAAACCTCCGGCACGGAACTTCGCAAACCACTGTTGACCACGTGCCATCAGGCACAGCACCTTCTCCCTACCCTGCACAAACCTTTTTTTTTTTTGCGTTTCAGTTGTGTATTTATCTTTTTTGAAATAATAAAGCATAATATGCAGATATGTTGTGTATTTTCCTCTATCTTCGATATTAAAATGGCTATACAAAAATTCACCGGTTTTGATGTTTTTTTAAAGTGCATGCTGATATGGCAACTGTCACAATACAATCTAACAAAATTGTTTCGAATGAACTTAAAGACAACGAAGCGCTACTAGGGCCATCGTACTAGGGAGAAAAACCAAATGAACCTTTTGGCCAATCTAGTAATTACAGTAATGCTTGACTGAAGTCCCACAGGCATCAAAATGAAATTATTAGTGCAACTAAAATGTCCAAAACACGTAAAAGTGTCTAAAACAAAACCAAAAGCAAAGCTGTCTTTTGTCATCCAATACGCAGCTGGAAGCAAAAACGCAATCAGCCCGTTCAGGTTCTCGGGGCCCTGTAACTCCTCCAAACAGGGACATCCACATTCATCCCATCCCCGGTTTCTGCTACCAAAGCCGGCCTCCAGCCCGGAAAACTCGCCTACAAAATGCTTCCCGAAAAGAAAACAAGGTGATACAAGGTAGTCTGTGACACCAGGTAGTCTGTGACACGAAACTCAAAAAAGCTCTTTAAAAAATATTTCTTATCTAGCCCTGGCTGGCGTAGCTCAGTGGATGGAGCGCGGGCTGCGAACCAAAGTGTCGCAGGTTCGATTCCCAGTCAGGGCACATGCCTGGGTTGCAGGCCACGGCCCCCAGCAACCGCACATTGATGTTTCTCTCTCTTTCTCCCTCCCTTCCCTCTCTAAAAAAATAAATAAATAAATAAAATGTAAAAAAAAATTTCTCATCTCTCCAGGCCCGCACGCCACCAGCCCGTGGCGTACTTCCCCGTCCAGGGCAGAGGAACGCTCGTCAGAGAGCCGGCCGCAGCTTCCTCTTGTGAAACGTCCTCGCCCAGCGCTGGGGCTCGGTGCTTGCTGGGGCGGAGCACGGCCAGCTCCCCCGCCCAACCCTGCACCCCGGTGGGGGCCCGAAGCCCCGCTGGGCAGGGTCCTGGGCTGCCGGCTGTGGTCGCGGCACTGCCGCTCCCAGCGACAGCTGAGCAGAGGGCCCTGCCAGGGGTGCTGCTGGCCCGCGGGGACGGGCTCGCTTTCTTGGGGTGACCATGCCTGTGACTTAGGGAGCGACTGGAGGAACAGATACGTATGACTCAGAGGTAACCGCCGGGCCCCCGGTTTAGACCTATTTTTATTAAGCGAACACGGTTACAATGGACGCCCAACTGTGGTTTTCAGTGACCGCCTAATAATAGTAACGCTCAGCACTGTGCGGCCCTGTTCTGCTAACGGAGGTGAACAGACACTTGGATGGACATCTTCATGAACCGTTTTAAGTTTTTAATGTTTTCCTGATGGTGGTGGTGGGGGTGGGTGGGGGGTAGGGGTGGGTGATGATGAAGGGGTGGGGGGTGATGGGGGGTGGGTGATGATGAGGGGTGGGGGGTGATGGGGGTGGGTGATGATGAGGGGTGGGGGGTGGGTGATGATGGGGGTGATGGGTGATGATGGGGGGGGTGGGGGGTTGGGGGGTGAGTGATGATGAGGGGGGTGGTGGGTGGTGGGGGGGGACGGGTGCTGGTGGTCCCTTTATCTACTTCCGGCTGCAGCACGAACGTTTCCGTCCTCACAGATGCCGGGCATCGCCTTTTCTCACTTTATTTACTTGATGATATAAAATGACTTGGCCAGCAATGCTCGCTTATTGAACCAGGGAAGCAAATAACCACCAAGGACCTGGGTGTCGCCTGTCTATTTTCTGAAAACAACGAGAGAACGAACTTCCACGGAACTAAGCAGCTGTGCGGCCAGACAGCGGAGTTCTCTGACGCTTTGGGTGGTGACATTGCTGTCCCTGGAGACCGTAAAAGCCGGAGAACAGCGCCCGTGCCCGTGGGTCAGCCTGCACCCCCACCGAGAGGCAGGAACGGGCGGCCGGCCTCGGGCCCCCTCGCCCCCGCGGCTCCCGGGCAGACGCCCACAGAAACATCCACTCACTATTTGAACTGCACCCGGTACACCGCCGGCCCCTCGCCGCCGCTCAGGGACACCGGCTCCCAGCTCAGAACCTGCTCCGCGTTGTACAGGTGGATCCTCGGGTTTTGAGGGGCAGGCAGCTGGGAGGGAGAGTCTTGAAAGGGACCTAGGTTAAGAGAAGGGGGGAAGAGTGGGAGAGAGAAGGGGGTGGGGGTGAAGGAGACAAGTCAGTTACAAACGTACTGAAAAGCGCGCTGCCATCCGACAGCTCAGGTTTCGTCTGCGAGCGGGAATGGCGTTACCTGAGCCCCCTGGCACGGCCCCAGCCCCACCTGTGACGAAGGAGGCACGTTTGACCCAGCCCGTGGGAAAGCACAGGGCGTGGGGCTCTTCCGGGCTGGCCCGGGGCCCCTTTCCCCTGCTGGTATGCGAGTGTGACCGGGTGGGCCGCTTACAGGCAGTGTCCCCTTCAAGAGTGAAGCCTAAATAAGTCATGGCATCCCCACAGGCTATGGTGCAGATTAAATTGGTGGCTCTGTGACTTGCGCTGGCCCGGGGCTCTGTACCAAGGTATTGGGTGGAAAACCACACACACACACACACACATACACACACCCCGGAGCAGCCGTGTTCCCCTGGGGCCCCCAGCACCATAAGCTCTGAGCTCCCCAGTCTCAGGACCCCCGGACCAGGCCACCTGTGTTCCCAACGGGCTTCCCGGGCGATTCTTTCCAGTGTGGATGTGGGAGACCCACAAACACCGGAACCGCACACTCCCCAGGAAATCCTCGAGAGCAGGATCCCCTCCTGGGGGGGGCGGGGATGGGAGAGACACGTGCTCCCCCCGCTCCCCCCCCAGACACCGTGCAGGCCTGGCCCAGAGTCTCCGGGCTCGGGGCACCCCCTCTGGCGAGAAAGCTCTGTAGCGACGAGCCTTTCTGTGAGATGATGAGATGAAGGAGAAGCGCCCAGAGAGTGGAAAGAAAAGTTTGGAAAACGTGCTGCTCCAGAAACTCAAAGCAGGAAATTCCAAGCCCACGCTCTCAGGAAATGCATCCAATACTGAAGGAGACCAACCCAAGAGGCCAGCCGCTGGCCGGCCGCCTCCCCTTCTGCAGGGGAGTCCCCGAGAGCCTGCAGCCATGTCTACATGCCGTCATCTCCACAGCCACCAGCTTGGGCTGACCACCACTCCAGCTCTTTCCTGAGCCGGTGACACTTGTCCCAGTTCCTGCCAGGCCCTGTGAAAGCCACAAGGCTCTCTTGGGGCAGGCGCACTGGTTCACGGGGCTGCTGGGGCCCAGACCAAGCCCAGCCCCCCAGCCCCTGGCCACAGCTGAGCTGACCGCTGGAGTCCTGCTCCCAGGGAAGGGGTGAGCACTCAGTTAGGGCTGGGGGCCCCTCGGGGAATCTCAGAGACCCCTTTCTGCTGCTCTGTCAGGGCCCTGTCGACGCTGAGATACATCACCGCCACCGCCGACGCCCCCCACACTTGGGCGTGCGCAGTTCTGGCGGGCAGGGCAGGAGACAGGCGTCGCCCAGCGAAGGGGCCGGCCAGGCTGCGTCCTTCTGGGGCCCGGAGGGCCGAACGGCGGAACGCCTGTTCCAGCTCCCGGGAGCTGCACACCCTCCCCGGCCCGTGTGCCTGCCACCCAGCCACGCACTGCCACCCAGCCACGCGCTGCCACCTCGTGGGCTCCGCTCTCCAGCCTCCCTCCCCCTTTTTTCAGGGGCCCCTGGGCGTATACTGCACCCACGGGGCCCAGCAATCCGGGGTCGCCCCCATCCCAGGGTCCTTTGCTTGAGTGCATCTGCAGAGTCCCATTTGCCACATGAGGTGACCCAGTCCCAGGCTCCGGGGCTCAGGACGGGGATGTCTCTGAGGACCGCCGCTCGGACTCCGCCCGTCCGTGGGGCACAGTCAGCAGGGATCCCCTCTCCCTCATCCTCCCCCGGGTGCCTGGACCCCCCAACTGGATGTTCAGCTGCGACAGGAAGCCCCGAGAGGCCCAGGGCTGCAGAAAGGGCTTCGTCCCCAGGCGACACGGGGACTGTGAGTGACAGGGCCGTGCGTGCCCAGGAGGGCCTTCCCCGTCTCTAACTTCTAACGGAGGTGTGGGGACGGGCCTGCAGCTTTGCTCTGCCGTGGAGTTTTTCGGAATCCCCGTCTTCCCGGGTTCCGAGAAGAAACGAGTCTCAGGGCTGTGCATGTCCAGCGAAGCGCCAGGGCTGCCCCTCACTGACGACCGCCTCCCACCGTGCCCGGGCGCCTCTCCAGCCTCTGACGGCCTCACCCCTTTTATTCCCGCCACGTGGCCTCCTCGTTTCTGGGAAATGCGGGACACACTCCGGCCTCGCACCGCCCTTCACCTGGAACCTCGTTTCCAGTCTCGCCACAGCTGTGCTCCTCACTCCCTGCAGGTGTCCCCTCCGGTGCCGCCCAGTGAGAGCGGTTTCCTGCGGACAGCGCCCGCCTGGGGCCGGTCCGTCTCTGCTGGTTTACACTCGGCGGCCAGGAGCGGGGCCTCCGCACCGGGCTGCCCGAGTTCCTGGCTGCACGCTCCCTTGGGGGGAGCTCGGGCAGGTGGTTTAACCTCTCTGTGCCCCGCCCCTCTCATCTCCGAAACGGGGGGCGGGTGGCGGCTGCACAGCCGTGGAAGGGTCGGGACGGGCCGACCGAGTGGACGTCCGAGCAGGACGTCAACGCTGAGCGCAGTGTGCCCGCGGCCAGGCAGCTGGCCCCGGTGCGCCCCACTGGACGCCGGCGCTGCGCCGCCGGAAGCCTGGCGCTGCGGGCCCGTGGCTGTTCCACCCCGTGGCTGTTCCACCCCGTGTCTGAAGCGCAGGCACCGGCCCTGCATCAGAGTGCCCTCTGACGGCTTCCGTGCCCCCGGCTCGCACCCCTCCCCCGCAAGCCCCGCACACAGCCCGGGCGGTCTCCCCCTGCCTTCGCCTTGTCCTCCCCTTGCTCCGGACTCCGGGGCTGCGGCCGGCAGTGGGCAGGCAGCCGGCGGTGGGCGCACCTGAGTGGCTCTCGAGGCCCACATTCGGGTCCCATGTTCATAGCACCTGCCGTCCACAGCGGGAGGAGGGCGGGGGTTAGGACACAGGGTTTCAGCCAGAACCCTGACCCCGTCACCTATGCCACAGGGTCCTGCCGACGCCGCACCGCAGCCCGTTTCCATAGCAACAAGGAAGCGCCACCACCCCTCCCACAGCCAGAGTGAGGTCGGGATGCGAGACCTCCCACGGGAGGCCACGCCAGACGCTGCTGCCTGGGGCGACCAATCCGATGGGGCCGTTCCAGGTGCCCGGTGAAAGGCAGCCCCTGCCCCTCCTCCGAGAGCAGCCTGGCACCCGGAGCCCCAGCTGGGTCCCCGGCCCTGCGCTGGGCACTGCATTCCACAGCCTGACCCTGCTGAGGGCAGAATAGCGCCCCCCCGTCGGATGTCTGTGTCCTGGGATACACCGGGCAGGCAAAAAGCAGGTGGACCGTTGTAACATTCCGTTGACGTAGAAAAGCATGTAATCATTGCGCCTGCTTTTGCCCACCTTGCACATGAGGTTCGTGGCAAAGGGGAACCAGCCAAATTCCGGTTCCCACTCAGAAGACCTAAACACAGGGAGGGTACCCTGGAACCTCTGGGGGGCCCAGCATTGTCACAGGAGTGAGGCAGGCACTGGCAAAGAGACGAGTGTCCCCAGAGGCCCCCAGAAGGAGCACACCCCCGCCGGCACCTTGGTTCCGCCCCCGCCCCGGCCTGCAGGGCTGCGAGGGGACAAGTCTGTTGTTGCAAGGCCTGCGGCTGGTGGGCGTTTGTCACAGAAACAACAGGGAACACAGTCCCCGTGGGTGGTCGCCGGGGCGCTGACGACACCCTGACACCCGGCTCCCCCCAGAGAAAATCACAGCCCTAAATGGGTGTACCTTCCTTCTCGCCAGGGTCTGCGGGGCGGCGACACCCACACTGTCAAGGGCAAGGAGAGAGGAGCTGGGGGTCGGTGTGACCCCTGCAGCTCGTCACCAAGCTCCGTCTGCTCCCCCTTCCTGCCCCGACCCGCCAGCCCCTTCCACCCCGGGCCCAGGCGGTGAGACTGCTACAGAGTCAAGAACGGCTCTCCCGGGTCTCAGCCGAGCACAGCCCAGCCTCATACACAGACGTTACAGTACGGTTACCACCACGGTCCATCCTGCAATCTCAGCATCCGAAGACCCTTTAAGATCTGGGCATCAGTGGGTCATCGTGACCACTGCCAATCGTGACGAATGCCAGCGGGTCCCCCTCCTGGCACCCTGCAGGCGAGAAGGCAACAAACATCCCCGGCTCTTTCCAGCCTCGAGAGAAAGCAAAGTCGGGAGCAGGGACGCCCCCACCCGAGGGCGGGCGGTGAGAAGCACCAGACCGTGGGGCTGGGCGCCGGCAGCTTCTCCTGGGCCCCCCGTGCCGTCTGCGCAAAACAGGGGTTGTCGGCGCTGGTGCCGCCTGCAGTGCACCCAACGACGAGGGACAGGTCCCGGCAAGGCCCCGGGAGAGGCCTGCACCCGAGCTGATGCCCAAGGGGGAAGAGACTTTCCATAACCACGGTCACAGAAAACCCAGAAGCGTGGTGACAGGAAGGAGGACGCCACAATCAGCTGTCTCCCAGAGGGGCGGTCCCCGCAGGGCGGGCCTGCACTTGGTCTCACACATGCACACATATGCACATGCATGTGCACACACACACGCACACAGCCGTGTGCTGGAGGGCCAGGGACAGGCTTCTGGCTGAGGGTGACCAAGGCCCTCCTGTCCCAGCTCATGTGATAGAGGTGTTTGTTCTAAACAAATATTGAAAGTCCTCTGAATCCTCAGCCATAACCAGGAAGTTGCCCTCGTTAGCCAACAGTGGACATCAGCTCATTTATGCAGACCATGTTTTGCTCCCAAATATGGAATGGTTTCCTTTGTTTGTTTGGGAGTAAACTGGGGCAGTGACCTACTTCAAAAGAATGGGGGAAAAATTCAGAAAGTTGGGGTACAATACACGAGCCCCCTGCACCTCGGCCCCAGGAAGGGTCGTTATTACTATCACTGACAGAGTGTGTCCCACACACCCCAGCTGCGTTAGGAGTTTCAACCGTTGAAACTACGGAGAAGGGGAGCTACGGGTGTAAACTCAACCGCAGCGGCTTTCTGCCGTCGGGGATTTGCCGTCTTTCTCGGCGGGTTCCCACACATTTAGGAGGGCTGTATACTCCAGCCCGCACATCACGGCACCGCGATTCCGTGGCACACACACAGATCCAACCACGGGCGCCTGAGCAACTGCTGGGGTGACTCCAGATAGGAGCCGGATACTTCAGTGGTGACAGACGAGTCAGCTGACTCCATCGCCCCGCCGTAAGAACCGCTGCAGCAGACTGGTCCAGGGCAGCACTGAACAGATCTACACCCCCTCCCAGGGGTGGGCCGTGCACGTCTCCCTTTAAACCACTGGTTTCCGGCCCCCTGGTTCCTGTTCTCTGACCACAAAAGCAATTTCATGATCACTACAGGACACTTGTAAATTATGGAAAAGTGGGGGGACGTTTTTCTCTGCGACCCATCTACTATGTAATTGCTGTTAATATCGTCACCTTGTGTTTTGACTAACGAAGAGCCTCTTTAAACAACACCCCAGGTTCTACATTGTGTGGGATGGGGAAAGTTCCCAGGGCCACGACGACAAAGACGAATGGGATGAGGAGCTGCTTTTCAGAGGGTCTGTGGTCAGGGACCCCTTCATCTGCAGTTACCACACAGCCCCGGGCGGTGGCAGTCCCAGACGGCCAAGCCCATGGAAGACGGACGGGCCTCGTGAGTGTGGCAATGCCAGAGGAAGTTTCTACACCCTCCCCTCCACCTCCGGGCTCCCGGGACCGGCAGCTCCCCCACAGCCACTGGTCAGCGGGGGCCCTCAGGTACCACTGCTTGCCCATGGCCCAGCCTGGGTAACTGCCCATGTTCTGCCAAACCCCAAATGTCACCTGCAGGAGGCCCCGGGAGGCTACGGATCTGGCTGCTCAGAACCTGAAGCTGGTGGGAGGGTGTGGAGTCGGGAGTCAGAACCTCCACCCCCAGCCCAACCCAGGGCCACTCCCAGGCAAAGCCAGGAGCTGAGGTCCTTGTAGGGAAGGTCCCTCTTATCAAGGACCTTGGAATTTAGGGGCCTCGGCGGGGCGTGGGATGCTGGAGGAAGAGATGGAGCTGAACAACTTCAAACAGGAGGAAACCTCCACCTCCTGGAGGCCTGCTGGGCGCCCCGGCCAGGGCCCCGGCACACCACACACACACACACACACACACACACACACACACAGAATGTTCTCCCCCCCACACACACACCTCTGCAGTTTGTCCTTTCTTAAACCCGTCTACATTGGTCGCAAGTATGGTCAGCTCGTGTCCCAGGTAAGAAGAGGCAGAGCCCAGCTCAGGCGCTGTCTGGGTGGGCGCAGAGCTGGGGTCAAGGCCGGTTCAGGCGCTGTCCCCCCAACACCCGGGCTCCGGACAGCTCTGGGGCTCCCCCATCTACCCTGTCCTGGTTCCAGGCCGGCTGTCAAACACACCGGGCCGCGGTGTGGTGGGGGCACGGGCGGCTCCAAATCCCGGGCACGGCCGGCGGCTGGCGGCTCGGCTCCGAGCGGCCAGGCAGGGGGCGGGGGCCGCGCCTCCACTCGGGCCCCGGGGGACGCGCCGCGCAGCGGGCGGGGGCGGCCCTGTCCCCCGCCCCGGGTTCGGTCCTTCCTCTTGAGAAGCTGGGTGGCGGCGCGGAGGCCGGGGCGCCGGGAGGGGCGACGGCGCCCTGCGGTCCCCCGGCTTCGCCCGCCGCTTGCCCGGAATTCCCCGCCCGCTGCGGGGACGCCTGCACGCGGCCCGGGGGCCCAGGCCCCGCTTACCTGCGGTGGGAGCCGCGGCGCCGAGATGCAGCAGCAGCAGCAGCAGCCACGGCGGCGGCGGCCGCATGGCCGGGCTCTGGGCGCGGGGCCGCGGAGGCTCAGGGCGCGCCCGGCCGCGGCCCGGGTCCGCCGAGCCGCTCAGGTCCGGGTGGAGGCGGCTCCGGGTGCTCCCGGGACCGGGCCCGCCCCTTCCCTCCCACTCCCCGCCCCCGCGCTGCCCTCCGCCCGGACTTTCCTGCCGGTCAGGCCCGCTCCGCCGGCAGAGAGCGCCCGGCGCGGCCCGGCGGGGTCCCGGAGGCGCGGAGCCGGCTTCCGGGGGCGCGGGGGGCGCGGGCGCGGCGGCGCGGGCCGGGCGCGCAGCGAGCCCCCGGGACGGCCGCCCGCGGGCACTGGTGGCCGGCGGGAGAGGCCCCCGCCCCCCGCGAGGACGCCTGCCTGTAGTTGAAACGTTTGCTTCGTTAACAGACCCTGCAGCACAGGGAAACGCAGCCCTTTCGGAAGCCGGTGTTAACGGCACAGAGCTCGAAAGCCCTGCGTGAGGGCAGGAGCGGGACCCCCGGGGGCGCACCGCGGGGCCGGGGGAGGGGACCCGCCGCGCCGCTTCCCGGCCTCCGGGCCCGCCCCGCCCGGGTGCACGAGGAAGTGGCCGCGCGGCGGCGGCAGCGGCGGGGCGGGAGGCGGGAGGCCCACCCATCCGAGCCCGGGCCTGCGCGGTGGCTCGCTGACGCCGCCCAGAAGGATCCGAGTCGGCCGTTCCCCCACCCGGGCGGTGGGCCCGCTCGGCCCCCAAGGAAGCTGGCGAAGAAGGGGATGGGGGGAGGGGAGACCAGAGTTAAAGAGCGGGGTCCCCGGGGCCCCCAGCCCGGCTAGCTGGCCCCTGCGTGCCTGGCAACACGGAGCTTTGCTTTGGGGCTTGTCGCCTTTTACTCCCCCTGCCGAGCTCTTGACCCTAGCCACCGTGGTGACGCTGTGTGATGCACCCATCTAGCGGGTGTTTGCACGAGGCTTCGAGTGAGCTTTTTAAGACACACAGACACGTTTGCATGGCAAACGAGAAAGGCAGGTCTAAGTGGGAATCGGCGGAAACGACGCGTGGGAAATGGGTGCGGGGGAGGCGACGCGAAGCGGGCAGCCCGGTGGTGAGGGTAACGGTTCCCTTTTTCTCCCCCACGGACGTGCTTTATACCCAGGAAGCAAGCCCGTCTGGTTGAAGGGGAGGGCGAACGTGCATCTGTCCCCGCCGGGCCAGGGAGGCCTTGTCGTCTCTGTCTCTGTCGCGGTTTCAGGAGCAGTGACAAGCGGGTGGTCTTTGCGGGGGAGGGTGGTACAGCCTCCCCGCCCGGTGGGCCTCTTGGGTCTCCATCCCGCGCCCCCCCAGACCCTCCTTCCAAGGCTCAGCTCTGCCAGAACTGGGAGGGCCTCAGGTGCCCTCGCGGGAGTCCAGGGCCCCGCACTGCAGGAGCGCACCCACTTCCTACTTGGATGGGCACCTTGCTGTCACCTGGAAGATACAACGTCTGCCCTGGCTGGTGTAGCTCAGTGGACTGAGTGTAGGCCTGCAAACCAAAGGGTTGCCAGTTCGATTCCCAGTCAGGGCACATGCCTGGGCTGCAGGCCAAGCCCCCAGTCCAGGTCCCCAGTTGGGGGCACGTGAGAGGCAACCACACATTGATGTTTCTCTCCCTCTCTTTCTCCTTCCCTTCCCCTCTCTCTAAAAATAAATAAAATCTTAAAAAAAAAAGGTACAAAGTCCCCAAAGCAACCCTGCAGCAGCTGGCCACGGAAAGCCCTTGGTGGTCGGCATGTCTGCTTTCCTGCTCCTCCGGCCTCAAGGCGTTTGAGGTCACGACAGGCGACTTGGGGGGCTACAGGGTCCCGCCCGGCGGGGACAGGCCGCCCTGTCAGTCTGGCCTCCACCTCCCCACTCCGTGGGGAGCCCTGACCATGGGTGTGCGGTGGGTGTCGGGTTCGGTCCCCCGCACGGCACCCACCTGGGGGTGGGTGAGCATCACCTTTAGGTGGGGCCCTGTCGGCAGCATCTCCTCTGCGGAGGCGGAGCAACTGGGAGCTGGAGCCTGGGGGCCCTCCCTGCACAGCCTCTCCTGCGGCCGTGGCGGGGGAGGGGTTCTGCTGGCACTGGGCCCACACGGTCATGTGTTTTCGTGAAAATCTGCCGAGTAAGAGCTTCTCCCCACAGTTGTTTGGCCCCTGGTCTCCTCCTCCCTCTCGACTTCTCCTTTGCTGCGCCCACTCGGGCAGGGCTGGGGCGGCCCTGCCACTTCCTCCAGAAATGTCCCAACGCTGAACATCAGCACCAAGTGGCCAAGTTTAAAGAAATGTCTAAACGATCAATAATAAGAAACGGCTCTTCCTTGGCGTTGTCCACGGAGGTGGCCGCCGTGGAGGTGGCCCTCACGCGGCCTCATGGCCGCCCTCAGGCCCCTCGCGAAACCCAAGGTCGTGGAAAAGAGGGCCACGATCAGACCAACCGACAGGCCAGGATGCGGCAGAACCACCGGCGGACACCCAGAGGCGCGGACAGCCGGTGTGCGGCAGGCTCACGGGCGGGATCTGGTGCCCGGCAACGAGAAGACAAAGTCCACGGCATCTCCGGGCTTGAAGAGCGGCTGGTGCGCGGCCAGCCCTGCCGCGCTGACTGCTCTCACAGCGTGTCCCCGGAGGACCGCAGAGCCGCTGGGCACCGGGCAGCCCCGCGGCCGTCGGGGTCACCCGTCCCGACGCCAGGCTGTGCAGCGCAGGAGAGGAGGAGAGAGATGGCCTGTACATTGTGTCTGTGTTAACAAAACCCTAAAATTCTGCCGTAATAAGAAACGTTTCAGTCAGTGATTCTGAAGGAAAGGCTGAGCTCACTGTCTATCGGGCACGTGACAAAAGGTTTCCAAGTGGGGAGGCGGAGACTACAGTCCGAGGTGGAGATAAAAGAATATTAGAAATGAGCTGATACGAGTGTATTGTTGCAATGGCAGTGGTGTTTAGCCGCTTTAAAATGTTGGTAGCTTGTGATTTACTTTCTCATTCTAAATAAACGCTTTGGCATCTCATTTTGTCTTCTTAGTTGTGTATTTTTTTTTCCGAAAAGAGCTCTCACATAGTATTGAATATATAAACTTCAGCCTTACAAAGCCCGCCGCCCCCTCCCATCCCGCCCCATCCCACTGATTTGCGGCCTTCCACCCAGTTGATCGTCTCTGGATGTTGTCCTTCTGCTCAGAGTCTGGAGCGCCCCCTCCCCTCCCTTGGGTTGGGGGAGGGGGGCAGAGAGAAGCCGACGCTGGGTCCCAGCCGGGGGTGCATCTGCTTGTGTTTTCCTGCAGTCCTACATTGGGGGGGGGTTGTGACTCCCATTTCTCAGATGAGGCCGAGTCCCAGAGAATTAAGCGACTCGCCCGGGGGTGCCCTTGGGTTGGGTCGGTCTGACTACGCCATGACTGCCTTTCCCAGGCTGTGCGGTTGGCAGGGCCGCGAGGTGTGCGTTCGCACACGGTTTGGAAGGTGAAGTCAAGGCGCGGCCATATTGCTTTTCGCCTGGGAGGCAGGGGCAGGGCGTGGGGCGTGGCAGTCCCAGCGCTGTGACTCGTCCGCTGGCGCCCGGAATGGCAGGGACCGCGGCTGGGCCGGGACTCCCCCAGCTCCTGCTGGAGCCCCCGCGGCAGCTCCCCCGTCTCCCGCGCCGGGCGTGTGCCCAGCTCCCCGAGCAGGGGCGCCAGCCGGCTGGCGGGACCCCCCACACAGGTGTCTGAGTCGGAGGCTTTGGTGATGGGGAGACACGGATGGGGGTTCCAGCTCAGCCTCAGGTTCCCGCTTGTCCCTGCGCCCCCCACCCCTCGTCCACCCTTTCTCCCTGACCTCCTGTCCTGAGAACTTCAGGCTCCAGCCCCAGACACGGGGGTAACTGTCCTCTTAGACTTTAGCCAATGCGCATGACTGCCCCAGGTCAAATCCCCGTGTCACACGCTCACACACACACACACACACACACATGCACCCCACGTCATGTGGTGGTCCTGCTCTCTGACCCAAAACTGACGGATCGTACCTCCAGGTCGCACAGCCAGCCAGCAGCAGGGGGGCTCCCGGCCAGCCCACCGAGCCTCAGAGCCCCGTGCCCCTCACACCCAACCTCTCACCCTGCCCGTCACTCCTTCCGCGGCTGCCCGCCCAGCCCCCGCTGCTCCCTCGGCCAGTCTTGGAAGGTGTGCTTTGGAGAGGTCACATGCACGCCATCCCTTCCCACGCTGCCCTTTCCACGCTGCCCGCCTGTGCTCCCTTCTTACCCCCTCCCCCTCCCCCCTCCCCATACCCACCATCTACAGTTTACAGCCCCAGCTCAGGCCTGAGCTTCCGCTTCCTGAAGACTCTGCGGCCTTCCCCGGCGTGGGTCTCTGTTGAGACCCATCCATGCCTCCAAGTGTAGGGGTGAGCATCCCCCCCAGATTCAAACGAAGGCAGCAAGAGCTTAGCACCCAAAACAGGCCCCCCCAGCAGTGCTATGCGGAGCTGGGTTCCTTCTTTGGTGTCCTCTGTGCCAAGGAATGCCAGCCGCAAGGCCGGAGGGCCGGCCCGCAGGCCTAGGCCGAGTCACCGCTGGTCCCCGGGGACTGCGTCCTGTCTCCTCCCCGCCCTCAGGCCGGCTCCTGTCCTCTTCCTGCGAGCGCTGCACTTCTGCTTCCCATGAAGGGCCCCCCTAAATCCTCACCCCCCAAATTGCATGTTCTTCTCTCCTCGTCTAGCACCTGTGGGGCCCCTTGCAAGAGTATCAGGAAATACTACCTTCTGCGTTTCATTCCCGGGAAAACAGGGGTGGATAAGACACTGAAGTTTGGCAGGGGGGAGAGAGAGCAGGCCGAGGGGGGGGGGTAGTTTCACTGGTCCCTGCAACCCCTTTGCAGGAGAGGAGCCCTGGCGGGTGCTGCTCCCTCGGCTGGAGCGTCGTGCGCTCACTGCCGGTGTTTGGGAAGTGTGCACCGGAGCCCCTTGTGAAACGCGCACCGCAGACGCGTTTACGGGGAGAATGGGGGCTCCCTTCCGTGCGTGCGTGCGCGCACTCGCATGTGTTTTGGAGGGCTGCTGTGGCCGGAACCTGTTCCCCCAAATTCACGTGGTGAAGCCCCCGCCCCGCTGCGGCGACGTTGGGAGGCGGGGCCTTTGCGGGGGGGCGATCGGGGTCACATGAGGTCAGGAGGGGGCGCAGGTGATGGGAGGAGGGTCCTCTCACGGAACAGGCCTCGTGCACCCTGACCGCGGACTTCCAACCCCCGCGCCGTGCGAAACCAGGGTCTGCGGCTGCAGCCGCCGCGCGCGTGGCGTGCTGCCCCGGTGGCCGAGCAGAATAAGACCAGGGGCCTTGCTCTGAGGTGACACCAGTGGGTGCAAGAGCCCCTCAGACCCGAACGATAGCGCCCGCCGCTTCCCTCGCAGGGACGCGCGCGCCCCCGGATTCAGAGGCTGTTTGGGAAGCAGCAGGAGTGACATTTCGGAGAGTCCGCGTCTGCACGGCCACACGCAAGACCCGCGTGAGCCAAGTCACGGGGGGGGGCACTTGCTGGTTTCGCGGCCACTCCGAGGTCACCAGCCAGCGTCTCTGGGGCAGAGCCGCGTCACCCACCGAGGGGCGCGACGCCACCGCGAGGAAAGAGCCTGGCAAGGCCCCGGAGGCCTGCTGCGGGCTCCGCGGGCTGTCGAGACCGTTCCGGGGCCTTCGCCCGCTCCCTGAGGGACTCCGCGCCGTGCGGGGACCCAGGCTGGGCCTGCCCCCCGCCCCCCCCCCCCCGGCAGCGTGTCCCCCCGAAGCTGCCTGGGCCCCTGTTCCCGGGGTAATGCTCCTGTGACGCATTCCCACCG